TAGAATACCTTATACTATTATCTTAGGAAATATAATAATATAATACTTTTATTATAAAATAATATTATTATCTTATTCTATTATCTTATCATATTATTATAACTGTATAATATTATATCGTTATATAGTTATTTTAGTATAACATTATAATAATATAACATTTTATAGTTATAATATTGTACCTAAACCTTAATTCGAGAGGCGAGCGTAATATATATACTCGGCCTCTACCCCTCTAGAGTTGATTTTCTTTTCTATAGTTTTCTAGTATACTATACTACTAGACTACTATCTACTCTATACTCTATACTATACTAAGAGACCTTATACTATATACTATCAAGTCTATATACTTTGATACATACTAAACTATTTAAAAGAAATAATTTATTAAACTATTTATTATATTTCTATTTGCTAGTTATCTATACTATATACTATAAATAGCTAAGTTCTGTATAGAGCTTATATATATAATAATGGCCCCTAAATATAATTTTAATAAACCAGATGCTATATTACCGCCGCTAAAAGACGCGCCTCCTCCTATTAAAGAACGACTATTTAATTATTCTTTAGACCCTTATAAGGAAAATAAAGTACGGACCTTTACTCTTACTTGTACAACCTGTAATAAAGTCTATGAGAATAAGACTTGGCCGTTTAATACAACTAATTTATACGCGCATTATAGTAAACTACATAAACATATAGTAACGTCTAAAGATGGCGATTATACTAGCGATAGTAACGATAACGATAATAATAATAGTCAATCTAGTATTATAGGTAGCAATCAATCTACTTTAGACTCACATTTAACTATAGAACCTATACCTAATCTTAGAAAACGTAAAAGCTTCGGCTTATTTAATAGCGAAGAATTTATTAGACTACTATTACTCTTTCTTATTAATAATAATCTAGCTTTTAGTATAATATCTAGTAAAAGTTTTGGTAACTTAATCACCTATTTAAATAACGAAGTAGGCGATATACCTTCTAGACAAACTATTACTAGAGCTTTTAATCTATTTTATACTGCCGAACTGGATAAATATATTCGAATTATTAAAAAGAATACTAGTAGATTCTCTTTAACATTCGACGAATGGAATTCCCGTAATAATACCTACGATTATCTAGGAATTACTTTACATTTTATTAATAGAAATTTTAGACTAGAAAGTTATTTAATAGGTTTCGAAGAATTAAATCGAGCTACGTCTTATACGGGCGACTTTCTATTTAAAGAACTAGACAACGTACTAAGTAATTATAATATTAGGAATAGAATTATAGGCGTAACTAGAGATAGCGCTAGCGCTATTAATACTTTAGTTTTAGATATTAAAAGAGAATATAAAATATCTTACGGTACTAATATAGTAGATATAAGATGCGTAGCGCATACTATTAATTTAATAAGTAATAGTATTCTATTATATTGTTTTTTTATACCTAATACTACTAAGATATTTATTAATACTCTAGAGACTATTACTAATCATAATCCAAACTTTACGTTTACTATTAATATAAAAACATTACCTAATAGTCTACGAAAGATTATAAGAGCTTTTAAAACAAATCATTTCCTAAAGAATACTTTTAATCGTGTCGTTAAAGAAAATAAAAGCCGTAACAAAAATACTAAAAAAGGCTCCGAAAGACTTAAAGGCGATAACGCTACTAGATGGTTATCTAAGTATAATCTAATTAATAGTATAATATATCATTTTCTAGAAATTAATAAGACTCTAGAGCAAGCTAACGAGCTATCTAAGACTAAGCGTCGTGCTTTAAATATCGATAATTATTATATATCTAAAGAAGAACTAGACTACCTTATTCTATTACGAGATACTTTAGAAGTATTTGTACGTCCTACTAAACTATTTCAAGCTCGAAACTACGAGACTATTTCTAAGACTATACTAGAAATATTTAAAATAATAAGAACTCTAGAAAGGCATTTAGAGAAAGATAGTATTAAATCCAATCCTTTCTTAAAATACGGAGTAGAACAAGCAATTAATAAAGCCTTAGAATATTATCCAATTAAGAATACGACTCTTCTAGATACTAATAATAAAACCAGAACGTTTAATAAGCTTAAAGATATTCTAGTAGTTACGGTTTTAAATCCGTGTTTTAAACCAGAGTTCTTAGAATCTCCTCCTATTAATTTTAGTTCTAAAGTAATAGAAGAAGTAAAAGAATACTTAAGAGACATATACGAAAGTTATAAAATAGATTATATTAATACTAGCGGCCGTACTTATATCGAAAACGAATCGCAAACTACGGTCGCTAGTAGTTCTATTTCCTATAATATAGATTCCGACGACGAGTTCTATATTGCGGGTACTACTAGTAAACAAACTCTATCTAAAGTAGACGAATTAGATACCTATCTAGCAGAGCCTAGACTACCTAAAGATAACAATAATAAAAATATACTAGAAGATTATTATAAAAGTATAGAGTATAGATTACCTATTATCTATAATATAGCGCGAGATTAGCTATCTATATTAGCGACTTCGGTCCCTAGCGAGTCGCAATTCTCTATAGCAGCCGATATATTAACTAAGAAACGTAATAGGCTTAGTTCGGAGAATTTTAAACAACTTATTATATTAAAGAGCTTAGGTATTATTAAGACCGAAGACGATATAGAAGAAGATAAAGAACTATCTAAAGAAGAACTAGAAGAGTTTAAATCTAATTCTAAGGGTAAAGAAAGGGCTATAGATAATCTAGACCTAGAGGAGCTAGACGCTACTATAGAATTAGAAGAAGACGACGAATTATCTACCGAAGATATAGACTACGAGACTCTAGATATAGATATAGACTTAGACGGCTAGATAGGCTTTAATTAAGTATATTTATATACTATACTATTAACAAGATATATAATATATAAATAATAACTGTAATAATAAACATATCTATTAGTATTATAATGTGAGAAGGGTCTGTTAGTAGGTAGATAGGGTAGTAGTAGGTACAGGTAGTATTCGATAAGGAGCTAGGAGGAGAGGGAGGAAGGCAGGCAAGTTAGCCTATTGCTAAGCGCCAAGCCCTGCCTAAGGCACTAAGACCCTAGCTTCACTTAGCCTAGTTACATGCCAATCACGTGTAGCCTCTTTAGCCCTAATATACGCTTCCCTTCTAAAGGCCGCGCCCTCGTAGCCTGCCTATGTTTTACGACCTCTATTGCCGCTAACTTAGCAAGTCTAATAAGCTACTTAGCCCGCGCTGAATTAAACACTTAACCACCTGATTATGTAACTATATTAAACCTTACCTCTAAACAATACAATATATAACTCTAACTGCGCTATCTCTATATATAATAAACTATAAAGTGATATATATCTATAAGAATTGAAGGCCTTCGACTAATTATAATACGAGCGCGTCTTCCCTACTATAATAGATAGACGTACGAGGTATTATAGCACTGCCTCCGTTCTAAGTAATGTCGTATCGAGTTCTTTGCGTCTACTCTTAAAAGACCTAGCAATGTCCGCTTCCGAGGGTTGTCCGCTTCCGAGGGTTTGTTCTTATTATTACGAGGGCTATTATTTACTGTCGTAGTTTCACTAGCCCTAATTAGTTAGGTTTAGTAGCCTTTAAGTGTCAACCAATTATATCTTTTTAAAAAACTTAGTTCTTCTAGTTTCTATAGGTAAAGGCTATTATAAGTATAGTAGTAGAGGTTCGCCTCGCTTAAAGGGTTAGATAGATCGAGGAGTAACCTATTGTCCGCAAGATCGACCCCGGCTAGCTTAGCTCTATAGTTTTGCCCTTAGTTAGTTAGTCTATTAGTCGCTCAATCTTTTAAGCGGCTTAAAGTTTTAATCAAAGTTTTAATCAAAGTTTTGATTAAAGGTGCCTTAGGCTCGTAGTATAGGTAAGGTTGTATCCGCAGGTGCAGTAATAGTAGCAAGTAATGTTAACAATAGCGGCGCTAGTCGTCTTAGCGCTAACTTTACCTTCTTCTAATTTCCTTCTTTAACTAACAACAACTCGGCAATACCGTTACTAATATAGCGGTGTCCTTCCTTTCTTAAATAGCAACACACTTCGCAACACCGTTACTAACATAGCCGCGCTAGCTATCTTCTAACACACCGTTATTCGTACGCGCGCGCGTATTCTCGTCGATTACCTAGGCCTCGAGGCCTCGGTAGAATAAAGGAACAAGAGGTAGAGTCTTTAAAAGAGCAGTAACTAATTAACGCGTCGTAGCGCGCTTGTTAACACTCGGTACGCGTTTACTATAGTGGTGTAGTCTTATTGTCTCTTATTGCTAACAATTGCTTGCCTCTAATTAGTTAGCTAATAGTACCCCGGGGGTAGCATTAATCCTAGGCCTTAATAGTAATATTATAAGCTTTTAGCCTTCTTCTTGTTCTTTACGCTAGTCTAATACTTATCTAACAACTCGGTTATGTCCTTAAAGGAACCTTTAGCTTCCTATAAGTCCTATTTAGGTAAATAGCCCTGCTACCTTAGGAGGTATTCCTTCTTGCCTTTCCTAGTCCGGTGCTATAGGATACGTTCTATAGACTATAGTTCTTTACTATTAGCTAAGACTTCTTCTAACTTAGTAGGCGCTTTATCGCCTTCGCGTTAATAGTATAGCTTAAGGAGGGATATATAGAAGGTGTTATAGATAGTGTAATAGGGTAGAAGCTATAACTAGTAGGCCTGTATGCCCTTCGGTTCTCGAATGCGGAATAGGCTAATGTATCTTAGTGCGAGCTTAGGCCTTGTTTTGCTATCGGGTAATAGGTGTTTGCGGATACGGAGGTTCTTTATACTAAGCATAACTATATCGCCTTGCTTAAAGGTTATTAGAAGGTAGTGTTTATTATAGTAGGTCTTTTAGTACTCTTAAGCCTTTGTTAACTTCTCGGCTATCTTAGTATAGATTTCTCGTATCTTCTAAACCCTCTTAATAGCCGCTAGTGTTTCGGGTACTTAACGCGCTTCCCTTTCCTTACGCTCGGCCTCGAGCGAGATAAATAGGTCTTGTAGTAAGGCAGCGTTCTAGCCTATTATAGCAAAATAAGGGGAGACCTTAGTAGATAAGTAGACACTATTATTGTATACGAATTCAGCTAGTTATAGGAGGTTGACCTAGTCCTCGGGGTTCTTATTAATGTAACTGCGTAGGTACTGCTATAGGGTAGCATTCTGCCTCTCTGTTTAACCGTTAGTCTATAGATAGAAGGCTATTAATAGCCGATGCTTTAGTCTTAGCTGCAAGCAAATCTCGCTCTAATAGTGAGATATCAGTGTCGATTTACGATCGGATACGATCCCCTTAGGGGTTCCCTAATAGGTATAGAAGATGTTAGTCTATAGCGCCTCTGCTATATTAATAGTAGTCTAATCCTTACGAGTAGGAATATAGCGAGTACCCTTAGTAAATCGGTCTATAACGACTAGTATAGCGTTAAAGACGTCTTTACTTCCTCTTCGCTTAGCAGAGGGAAGACCTATAATAAAGTCTATTATAAGCTCTATAAAAGGCTTCTTTAGAATAGGGAGTAAAGACAACTCGCCGAATAGTAAGTGCTTTAGTGCTTTAACTCGCTAGCATACTATACAGGTCTGTATATACTCCTTTATATGCCGCTTACTATTTAGCTAGTAGTATATACGCAATAGTAACTCGTGCGACCTCTCTATACTATAGTAACTAGCGAGCTTACTATTATAGTGCCTCTTTAAAAGCTCTTGTCTAATCGATTGTTTAGCGGGGATATAGTATCTGCCCTTAAACTTTAAGTAACCCTTATCGTCGATCGACTAATTGTTATTACTCTTGCTAGATCGAGTCGCCCGCCTATTTACAAGCTTATTAATACGCTCGATAGCAAAGGCGTCCCTCTGCTAAGTACGCAATAGCTTATCTATAAACGATTGACTATCCCTATTTGCAAGGTTATTTAATAGTACCCTTACTATTAAACGAGGTACGTATTGTATGTATCTAATAGCACTAGCAGCCGGAACTACTATAACCTCTTCTATAGTACTATCGCTATAGATAGCAATATCTTTAATCGAGTTATTATAGCTCGAGCGATCTACGTCCTTCTTAACGTGCACTAGAAGAACGACAACTCCGCTATAGTATTTGTTGCCGCCGCGGGGTCCGGAAGTCCGCTTATCCTACGCTTACTTATTAATAATACGGGCTATAGCAATCTTATGCTATAGGGTTAGAAACAATGAATTAATGTACTAAGTCTCGCTATCGTAATTAGGTCGCCTCGATAGGCTATTAGTAGGGTTACTTACGCCTAGCTAATATAATATATTAAAATCAAACCCGGCGAGGTAGACGGCCTATCTAGCCTGTCGACCTATAACCCTAGTAACCTTAGTGATGCTACGGAGGTTGTTATAGTCTGTGTAGACCTAAATGGTATACTATACACTATCGAGATAGTGCCTCTAATGCTTAAAGGCCTCGACAATAGCTAGGAGCTCTTGCTCGTAGGTCTCGTAGCGACGCTCTATATCGATTATCTTTCGTAAAAAGAAGGCAATTAGGTACTAGTAATAGTCCTTATCTAATTGCTATAACATAATAGCCGATACAGCGAACTATAAAGCGTTAGTCTTAATACGGATCTGCTTGCTTAGTACAAAATAGTATAGTAAGGGGACTTTAGTAAACCGCTTCTTTAGACCGTCAAAAGCGGCTTATGCTCTGTTAGTCTATTTAAACTCTCTAGTTAGGTTAGCCTTGGTTTTAGTAAGCTCAGTTAGGGGCATTATATGCCGTAAATAGCCCTTAATAAAGCGGCGGTAGAAATTAGCGAAGCCGAGGAACGATTAAAGTTCCTTAATAGACGTAGGAATAGGCCATTTAGTAATGGTTTTAATCCGATTAGGATTAGCCTTAACACCCTTAGTTAACACGAGGAAGCTAAGGAATAACACCTCTTTAGTAGCAAAGGTGCATTTAGAAGGCTTGTAATACAATCTATAGGCTCGTAGGCGGTCGAGGACCTTGCGTACTACGGCCTAGTATTCTATAATATTAGGTAAATGTATGTAAACTAGGATGTTATCTAGGTAAACTATACAGAGATAGTCTAATAGGCCTAAAAGGGCTCGATTAATATAGGACTAGAATGTTGTAGGGGCATTAGCTAGGCTAAATGGTATAACTAAGTATTCGAAATAGCTATAGCGAGTACGGAAGGCTATTTTCTATTCGTCGCCCTTACGAATACAGATACGATAGTACGTATCCTTAATGTCTAGTATAGTGTAGTAGTAAGCCCTAGAAAGGCGATCGAGGGTCTTATTAATAAGGGGGAGTAGATAGCGGTCTTTAATAGTAATAGCGTTAAGCCTACGATAGTCGATATATAGGCGTAGGCTACTATCCTTCTTTAGTACGAATAGGATAGGTGCACTAGCAGGGCTATTACTGTACCGAATACGACTATTAGCTAGGTTTTCCTCTAGGTACTTACGTAATACAGTAAGCTCTCGCTTACTAAGGTTGTAGAGGGGGCTAAAAGGAACCTCCTTACCCTCTATAATATTAATCTTATAATCCGTCTCCTTAAATATAGGCAATGTCGATGCTAGGTAGTGTTTAAACATATTAATATATGTCTCTCGGATAGGCTCTAGTATACGAGCAAGCTAATTAGGATTATTAGGGGGCACAGGTTTATCGTTATTACTACCGAGTAGGTCGGTAGTCGGATTAGCTAAGGCAGGTATTAGGTTGCTAATAAATAGGACCCTAATATCGTTAGGGTACTCGCTAACATTAATGTGTTTAATGTCCTCTTTCCTAGCGATTCTAAATCGCTACTTCTAGAGGCCTAGGTCTATAGCTACAGCGTAGTACTTAAGAACAGGGTTACTAATAACAATATCGGATAGGAGGCTGTCTATGTCTACTGCGTAGGTAGTGAAGTCTAGTAGGCGCTCATTTCCGAGGTCGTCCTTTAGAGCTATAGGAACATAGTAGGCCCTATAGGTTAAGTGCCGAGCGTTATTAAACTAAGCAAGGGTTGGCAGGTTAGTCTTCGGCAGTTGTCGAAGGTCTAATTGCTTAGCTAGGCGATGGCTAATAAGGGCGCTAACTGAATTTCCTAGATCTAGTATAACCTTAGTTTAATAGGTAGTGCCCTTCGTATCCTATACAAGGTAGGAGCGTGTTATAGCTAGCATAATGTCGATGGTCTTACGCCGTACAAGGCTAACAGTTAGTACGGCGCTTACTCTTTTTTCGACTAATTAAAAGAGCCGACTAGGGTAGCATTAGCGGCTAAAAGGTGTTTCCTATGCTTAGCGGAAGTACGGTTAATTCGGGCCTAGTCCTTAGGTTTGTCGTATTAGCCTAGTAGATAGCTAGTGCTGTTATAATTAAAGTACTTTAATCCGGTCGGGAGATTGTTGCCGTAGCTATTGTTGCTGCTATTATTAGTCGAGCGGTTAGTATTATAGGGATACGAGCCCCTTCTACGGCCCCTGTCGCGGCCTCCTCTATATAGCCGGCGGCTACGGCCTCTTCTACGATCGTTACTGTTCCTATTGTTAGCATTGTTGTCCTAGTAGGAACCTTAGTTTCCTCCGCGGCTACGGTTGCTACGGTTAGTACTAGCTAGTCGGATCCTCGATTCTAGTCGTTATTAGAGCTAAACAGCCTGTTCGGCTGTTTCTACTTCGACTATGAATTAGATGCGTGTTAGATTAGCTTGTTCGAATATACGGCGACGGTCTAATTCGAGGATAAGCTCCTATCTAAGTTTTAGGCGTATCTCGGAGATCTATATAGAATTAGTCTTAGGCGGAAGGTCGTCTTTAAGGGTTTTCAAATAGGCTTTAAATAAGCGAGCCGATTAATTAGTCTTCTATTTAGCTCGAAGATATAGGTCCTAAGCGTGTTATTGCCTTAGTATAGGGTTTCTAAGGGTGTCTAGTATAATAGTTTTGTAGGTTTGCTACTAAACAGCAGTCTAGTTATTAAGGGAGTCGAAATAGTTATCCTATATACGCTTTAGGTCGCTATTGATATACTGCATAGCGTGTACGACTAAGGAATAGTCGTCTAGTAGCGCTCTTAGTGCGTTACGCTAGTTAAGTTTACAGTTACGAATGTGGTCGTTATACTGCTTCCGACTAGAGCTATTAAATACGGTATAGTCCTTAAGTTTAGCATCCTTCTTTTAGATAGGTAGTAAAGAAGGTCCTGCTATTAGCTTAGCAGTAGTTGTTAGAGATTCCTAGAGGCGGCGAATCTCGAGAAGATTATCCTTTAGCTGTTGTTCTTAACGCAAGGCAGTAAGCCTGTTTTAGGTAGCTTCTTAAAGTCTCGCTACTAGTTAGGGACTAAAGGCTAGCTAGCTATATCGACGGTTAACAATATTGTTAAGAATGTCGTCGATAGGCAATTCTAGGTTGTTACCTAGAATTGTAGGTTCTTCTTTAGCAGGTCCTATAGTAGGCTCTTCGGTAGGAGGCACTTTAGTAGGTGCTCTAGTAGGCACTTTAGTAGGCACTATACTACTAGCATTGTCGTTGCTAGCGCTACTAGCGGTAGTACGGTTATTGTTTCGTAACGAGCCGGCTATTATAATAAGGGGTAACACTAATAATGTATTATTAGCCCCTAAGGTGCGGATATAGCGGAATTAGTAGATATTAGTCTAGTACGATTGACTTAGTATAATAGGCCGTATAGAAGGCCTTGCTTGATAATTAGTACGGTTGCTTCGATAGAATAGTACGTATAGGTCCCGTTCTTCGGGCGCAATATAGTTAGATTAGTCTTGTTCGTAGCTATACCGGTGAAAGCTTGAAATAAGTACTATCTAGCTGCTGCCCTTAAAGGGTAGATCGAATACTGTATAAGAAGGGTCTATTAGCAGGTAGATAGGGTAGTAGTAGGTATAGGTAGTATTCGATAAGGAGCTAGGAGGAGAGGGAGGAAGGCAGGCAAGTTGGCCTATTACTAAGCGCCAAGCCCTGCCTAAGGCACTGAGACCCTAGCTTTACTTGGCCTAGTTACATACTAATCACGTATAGCCTCTTTGGCCCTAATATATAATAATATATAGTACTACTACTATTGTTATTACTAGTCTATTAGATTTATATTAGTTGAACTATATATATAGTTAGCTTAGAATATATATACGACTTAGAATATATAATATAAGTCCTAGATAGTATAAAATTACAACCTATAGATATAAAATTCTCCTATAGTTTAAAGAATTTATATAGATACTAGATAGTTTTTTTATATATTTATACAATGTATACAAACTGAATTCTTCTTAAAATTTAGTCCTAGACTTGCTAGACTGCTTAATCTAAGCGCTAGATAGCGTTAGATTCTCGCGGCCTTAAATTAGAGACCCCCCTAGAAGTAGGGCTTATATAAGCATTATAGGGCTCGGATAGTATTCTTATATATATATAAGATATATAGGACCCAAATTCTACCTAAAATGTAGTCCTAGACTTGCTAGATTGCTTAATCCAAGCGCTAAATAGCGTTGGATTCTCGCGGCCTTAAAATAGAGACCCCCCTGGAAGTAGGGCTTATATAAGCATTATAGGACTCGGATAGTATTCTTATATATATATAAGATATATAGAACCTAAATTCTACCTAAAATCTAGTCCTAGACTTGCTAGATTGCTTAATCCAATCGCTAAATAGCGTTAGATTCTCGCGGCCTTAAAATAGAGACCCTCTAGAAGTAGGGCTTATATAAGCATTATAGGACTCGGATAGTATTCTTTTATATATATCCGACTAAAATAAACTAAAAGAATATATATATATAGTATAGTATACTACTATTATAGTAATAAAAATAAAAATACTAAAAGAGAAAAAAAAACCTCTAGAGACGACTTTTTTATAGGGTTTAAGATAACCCCTAACTAACGATAGTGTTTCTTCTGTTATATAGGCTATCTAGAGCCTATATAGGACTCGGATTAGTAACCCTAAAGGTTAATAGCTCCGAGAATTTCTTCGATTTCTTAAAGAAAAATTAGTAGTTGTTTTACTGCTATTGCTATAACTTACGATCGGCTATTAAATCCTCGATATTCGGAGTTGGAAATTAGATCATTTCGAAGTCGTTCGCAGCGGCAACTAAAAGTATTAGCAAAGCTAATAAAAAGTTAATAAAGTAAGAAAACAAACGTACCTTATCCTTCGAGGACTCGAATGCGTTCCGTAAGAGTACGGATCTCTTCCTTAAGGTTGTTAACCTTCTCGAGAAGCTGTTAGACTTTGCTAAGAGCGTTCTTAAGAGCAAAGAAGTCGCGGCGCTAGGTTTTGCTAAAGGAATTAGTTAGTAAAGAAAGACAGATATCTATAGCGTAGCGATATGCTTCTTAGGCGTAATACGTTCGCCGAGGGACCTAGCAAAGTCGTGCCGATAGTCGTAGGCATCAAACCCGCCCGGGTATCGTTAGGCGAGTCTCATTTCAAGTTTGTTTAGGATTCGTTTCTTTGTCGTTGTCCGTTGTTCGTCGTTCGAGTTTCAAGCTTGTTTCGAGAAAGGAACGACGTTCTACGGTCGCACAAGACGTATAGTAATACGTCGTGTACCCCGCTTTTATGTACCTTCCTAATACGTAGCTAAGTAAGCGTAGGGGGGCCCGGGAGGGCTAAACAAAGCCTAAAATCCCGCCAAGAATTCTTAAACACTAATTAGTGAGAAACTATAAAATAAAATTTATATACGCGTGCGGTATATATTAAACAATCTATAATTAAAATTTTAGCTAAATCCGTTAAGTATTCGTCTAAATATTTAAATCTAAGCGAAAGCGCTTTAAAAACTATTAAATATATCTTTTTTTTAAAAGAGTATTAGAAAATCGGATATCTTTAAAATAAAAGATATTATTATTTATTAATAAAAAAATTATTTCATAAGTCTATTATTACTCTATATAGTATATTTTAGAATATTTTTATAATAAATATTATTGGTTTTTTAGCTCTTTATGCCTCTTACTCTCTATATATTAAGACTTAAATTAAATTAGTATAATTCGTAATTTTTTCCCTATACTATAGTCTATTTTTCTATTTCTATTTATAGGTACTTAATCTAATATATACAAAGTTCTACCAAATATTTCTTTTATTTTTAACTCTGGTATTATAAATATTTGTGGGGTAATATTAATGCTAAAGAAAACTAGATTTTTAGTACTATTCTATAATAATTTTTTAGTATCTAGCATCTCTCTATAGTAGAGATATTAATTTTCTAGGATATTATTACTATAAATCTAAAGACTTGTGTCTTGGCAATAGTGTTGTATATATCTATATTCTGTAGACTATAAAATACTAAAAAATATAAAGATTATATCTAATAAGGATGCACTTTTCGATAGTTTCTATAGCAATAGTAATTACTAATAGTAATTAGTAATCACTAAATAGTAATTACTATTACTATTACTTTTACTATTACTATACGATTTTTAGAGAATTTACTAATTACTATTACTATTACTATCGCCGATTAAGCTTTACTATTTTACTATTTACTTTTACTATTACTAGTTACTAAGGTTTGGACATCTCTGTATTCAAGTCCACAACACAAGATGCAGCTTACGACGCTTGTCTCATTCCTTATTATAGCTTCTACAAGTACAGTATCTGCAGCCACCACAGGGTTCAGACCCAAGTACTATCGTCTCGAAGGATTGATTCCACGTGACGCACTGGCACTGGCATTGGCATATTCGCCTGGTGACCACGATCCAAAGGGTGGTAAGAGACAACAACCCGAGCCAGCGGTGCATCATCAGCAATGCTAATCCACCTTCATCGATTGCCATAGGTTGGTCGAAGTACGATCACGCATCGGGATGTCCACATAAATGTTGTAAATTGAATTACTACGGTAATGCCTGCGTAGGTCATAAAAGCAGCGACTCAACGGTTGCTTTGCTGATGATTCTTCTATCAGGAGGCCTGCTGTACAATTGATCCAAATAGTCCTCAGCTCCTCCACAACCCGAAGACTTCGAACGAATATAAAGACCCTCAGCCTGAGACTTCAACACCACCTTGCAAAATGACGAATACTTGCGTACCCATCTCTACTGGTCCCAAGACGCCTGCAAGACCGCCTTGCGCAAGAACGAACTCTTGCAAACCGCCAACTTGAGAAACAACGGACAGTTGCGAGATGAGCCTCTTTCGAAGACCGGACCGGGTGTGGAATGGAGGAGTTGGCAGGAATGCAGGAATTCAAATGCAGTATGAAATTCTACCACCGATCAAGAATGATCATCGAAGTCTCCAGTCCCTTCAAAGTTGGTGTCGAAATCGTGCTACCATCGACCGACCACTCGACATCTCCCCAAAGCGTCTTCTTGACTGCCTTCCCATGCACTCCTTCCGGCAGCTGAATCGAGATCGTGCCCGCAGCGAGCTGATTGCCATAATTCAAATTGATCACAATCACCAACACACTCTTCTCTCCGACCCAAGCACTCGCATCAACCCTCTCAGCACCCTTCACCACCAACCCCCCAACCCTCCGCTCCCCAAGCACAAACCCAGCAAACTCCCCACTCGTCAGAACCCCCGCGAACCGACTCGTAACATCCAAAATCTCATCCGAAGTAGGAAAATCCCACATCACCGATCCCATCGCCCGATGATTAATCGCGACAGCAGTCATCACGATTTCTTCCGCGGCGGTGGGGTACCGGGTCCAGAACGTCTCGTTTCCAAAAGCTTGCGGGACGGTCCAATGCGCTTTCTGCCAACCGAGGACATCATCAATGGCATGGAAATGTTCGAGGCGATCGGAAATGTCTTCGAAAACGCCGTTGCAGTCGTCGCAGCCGCAGCAGCCGTAGGTGGAGTTGCAGGGGGTGTCGTAGACGGTGGACCACGAGGTGTTGGTGCTGATGGGGTAGACGTCTGGCATGATGATGTCGGCGCCGGAGGCGTAGGATTGGTAGTGGAAATCGTAGCAGTTGAGGGCCATGGAGACGGGGTGGTAGAGGTCGAGGGATCGAACTTTTTCGTAGGCGGTGGGGAGGCTGTTGAGGGCGATGGATTTGCCGTCGGGTTCGTCGGCGATGTACCAGGAGAGGATTGAGGGGTGGGATTTGAGGCGGTTGACTTGTTCGGTTGTGTTGCCGATGCCGTGTTCGAGGTAGAGGACGTCGTAGTGGAAGTAGAGGGCGAGCTGTTCGGCTTTGTCGAGGTATGGTTGGAATTCAGCCCATGGGAAGGGAAGTTGGCCTAGGCTTCCTGTTGGGACTATGTGGAGGACGTTGTAGCCGAGTTTACTGAAGTCTTCGAGGGTTGAGACACTGGTGTTGAAGTAACGATCCCATTGTACTGCATATGTATGAGTGATGCAATCTACCACAAAGGGTTAGATACGTACCATAGTAAGTGTATGGAAAGAAAGGCTTGAATTCCTTCGATGATGCGTTGCGAACGGCCAAGCCGCCGACAAGATTGTCTATGCGCACAGCAGTGCCATTATCGCTCCGAATTGGAAGCACAATGAGCTGCGTTGAAGCAGTGAACGTCTGATTACTTTCAGAAACGGCCTCGACTGTAACATTGTATGGCTCGTGCTTTGCAGAAATGGACGAGAGGTCGAAATCCACCTCTGCGATGCTGCCTAGGGGGATAGATGTTGGGCCATAGCCGAGCAAGGACTTTCCACCCAGCATGATGTCAATCGAAAGTTTTAATGGGACATCGTTGTATGTGCTTTGGCTCGATGACTTAATGGCAGTCCCAACCAGGTGAGATATGGAGGCGTTTACCAGAAAGCTGCCATGCTTCTCATCATCCAGATATATACTCATTCGCGGAGTGACTTTGAGGTTCAATAATGGCTTCGCCGACCGTGATGGCGCCTCGAATCGGCCTCCTGGGTTGAATGATGCATTTCTGAGTCGTGGTCAGCACACTCAATGCTGAAGTCTATGCTGGATGAAGCTCACGTTGCTCGGTATGCTTTCCCGCACCAAATATCGACCCCTGGCGGATTATTGAATTGGGCAACTTGGGCCGAACAGGTGCAGGCAGCCAGAACTATACAGACCAGGGAACGATAGAACGACATCTTGCAGACCAAGACTGTCATGTTTTGCCCGAGCAGTCATCGTAGGTCGGATAACTTATGAGGCGGCAGCAACACGACATCCATGTAAGCAAAGCAACACCGGGATCCCCAGCGAGTGTCACGGTCCACGTGCTTGTCCATACAATGCGACCTCATGTCGCAACACAGATGGCAAACTGCGGAGAAGATGTTTAGCCGGGAAAGTGATGAAGAGATAGTACTAACCGGCACACGTTATTGGAATGTAAAGTAACGAAATGGTTATTGCTAATCAAATGATTCAAATCTCCTCTTGAACCCATGCTGCCATGCATGCCGCCTCTAGGGATCATGATTAGCATCAACCATCCACACTTCATCACAAAACATTGATCGTAGCTGTGTTATAACCTGCTTAACCCCAGCCCCCGTCCGACCTAACAAAAGTCGCACTATCGACATCGAAAATCTCATTCACCTGCCTATAAGAAGAAACTTCAATGCTTCTTTCGCAAACGTTATTCTCGCAGATCCGTATCATTATCAATCCCACCTTTCCGTATCTCCCCCACAAAGTGCAGAGCAGAGCAGAGCAGAGCAGAAAGAAATGATCGCAGGCTGCGAGATCGCTGGATCGACGAGAGCGAATGCGAGACCAGCTGAAGAGAACTCATTTCAGGAGCGAGAGATTTGCCTTTCATCATAGAGCCGAGAACAGCCAAGTGAGGAAGGAGTCTTCAGCAGATAGTGTTATGTAGATCAGTTGTGCCTTTGAGATTCCCAGCAGGCGACAACAAGATCGCAGCGAGCTGATGGAGTCACGTGGCAGACACCTACATATACGACAAAAAAAAAGGTAAACATGCTCGAATGACCCTGTCATCATAAAGAAGCCAGCCAGTCCACAAAATCCATCCATCCAGCAAGATTCTTCCAGCAACTCATCTAAGCACAGCCAGCATACAGCGCTAAATCCCCATAAATATCAGCATATTCCTTCCACAGTGCCAAATAAGAAAAATTCAACTCAACTCACCATTCGCATAAAGCGCATAAGAATCCGCATTGCCAACCGCCTCCCGACTCGTCAAATCGCGCGTCGCCTCAAACCCATACGCAAAATCCTCCGTGCCCGGCCGAAAAACCCCAGGAGCATGCGTCTCCTCATGCAGCACCGTCGTCGCCTGATCCTGATCATGACACTGCTTCGAAACCGGTTCGAGAACTTGATAAAAAATCTCACAATACGCCACGAAATTATATCGCGGTAAGGTGTACGCCAAAACGCCGGGTTGACAGTAACCGTACGTGTCACTGCAAGAAGTTTCCGTCGCGCCGCCGGTTTGGGAGCCGCAGTCTTGTGCTACGGCGCGGAAACGGGATGCGATGGTTTTTGCGGTGGTGGGGGAGGTGGTTTTGAAGTATTTTTGGAGAGCGTGGCCGGAGGTGGCGGCTGAGGCGGCGTTGGAGGCGAGTTTGGAGCAGTTTGAAAGGGCGTTTCGGAGGGTTTGAGCGCGGGAAGGGGAGCAGCCTGAGGTGTTTAGGGTGGTTCGTCTCTGATGGGGGCGGTCGACGGCGTAGGGAATTTTCATTGCCATGTCGCCGTCGATGTCCATTGTGATGGTGTTGGAGGAGAAGCGCACGGATTTGCCGGTGAGTTTGGTGCTTCCGAGCTCAGCGTATGGCATCGAGCCGACGGCACGTACGGCGTAGGAATCGGTGCTCTCAACGTCATACAGTTCGGCAACATCGATTTCGGTCTCAATGGTCTGGCCTGATTCGATGGGGACGAACTCGGATGCTGTAAGATTTTTGGTAGACATGCGGAGGAGGACGCCGTTGAAGTTTGCTCTTTGTGCTGGGAGTTTGTTAGTACTTCCTCTCCATCTCCAAGTATGTGATGGTACCTGTTCCTTGAACCACAAACTTGTCAACTGGCGAATCGCCGTCGAGGAAGGAGCCTTTGTAGAAGAGGTTGTAGCCTTGAGAGCCAGTATTGGTGACCTCGACCTTCACTTTGGAATTGTCTCCCTCCACCTGAGAGAGCTGGACTTGAAGAGGCGTGTCTCTTTTTTGGAGGTCAATCGCGCCAGCGCTGACTGACGCCACGAGGGCTGCAATGGAGAAGATTGCAAACTTCATTTTGTCGATGGAGTCGAATGATGCTGGCCGAGAAATGAGGGTGGATTGGAGTATGGTGGTTTGAGCAATGACGGTGGTTCTGCAAATGATGGTGATTGGTGAAAGGTGATGATGGGTTGAATAGCTTGCGCAAACGAGGTATTTACGCCGACTAGAAGTGAAGTGAAGTGAGCGAACGTGGCACCAGGCCACCGTAGGATATGAGGCGTTGCGGTATGACAGCGAGGGCTCAAGTTGCGCAGCTGTCAAAGTGTATCACCTACCTTTATAGCAGTGGCACCAAGAATCGGGCATTGTTTGTCTACTGCGCCGCGGCGTTGTGTGCGACAATGCCCAGCGGCTACCACCGCACGAAGACAACGACATTTTGATGATGCGCATGCGAAAGGCTGAGGCAGTCTCAGATGCATCCAGTCGATTTGGGAAGGTCGAGATGTACCAAGGTTCCAGGAGGGATCTGAGGCAGAGGATTAACTTGGCAGTTTTGGTAAAGAGTCAAGCATTGCCACGAGATGTGTGCTGGCGTCAAACTGCGCAGATGCGCGGCGGTAAAAATGCAAGCAGTGACAATGAAAAGGGCCCATCGTGCTCTTGGCAAGTAGGGAGAATGGATCAGCTTGGACAGATCAACGCTGCGGACCACAAAGCAAGTGAAGTTGGCGTGCGTATGTGAGGTAGCACGGTCGTATGTTGGCACTCTGTCTGTTGCAGGGAGTGCATCGGCGAGTGTGCCCGGAGAGAGTGTCTGGACGAATGAGCGCTTGAGATGGAAGTCCATCGTCAAACCCGCAGGTGGGCGTCGCTTCGCCGGCGATATTCTCATTTGAGGTCGAGAGATTTCCTGTTGGAGAAGGAGATCCGAGTCCTGTGTGTGTAGCGTGTCTCACATCCGTTCGAAGGTACCTTGCCGAGCCGAAAGAACACAAGATGCGGCAAGCCGAGTGGCAGCAGTCGGATGAAGGTGTGGTGTGGTGTGCAGTGGCGGAGGAGGTGTAGCACTCAGGAGAGACTGTGGACAGCCGCGCTTGGCATGCATCGCCAAATCACGTGCGCGTGAAGGTGCATGGTGAAACAAACAAAACCTAGCCAAGTACACCACGCATATTGAGTGTGAGATGCAGCGCAGCGACACCGAGCCACGAGGCGCCATTAAGCGCTGGAGCGGCAAAAGCTGCCCTTCAGACTTCTCGGCCATGTAGCGAGACGTATGGCGAGGCCACGCAGGAGTACAACGAAACGCTGGTCAACACATCGTGTGCTTGAGCAACACTACCTGGCATCACAGGGCGATGCGCGACGTGTCACTTCACTTCACCGTGTAGGTCGAGCTACTTGAGAATCACTCACTTACTCGAAGCGTTTCCCTCATCTGAAGCGAGACCGCTTGCAAGCCTTCGCTCATCCACCAGACCAGCAGTCCTCACAACGAGACAACCTCATGCCCACCCGCATCATATCCGTGATCGCTGGCGTATTGGCAGCCTGTGCGACCATTTACTGTCTATCGTCCAACACGGCCTACGACAGCTCCCAAGCTCCATCGAAACTCCAAGCGCTCAGCGATATGCCTACACCCGATGACCTGATAGTCACGCTCTCGCGAAGCAAGACGATCAACCCGCCGACAGTGCATGTTGCCATTCAGAACAAAAACACCGCGACGCCGCTCACGTTGCTCACATGGGACACGCCAATCGATCCTTCAGCTCTCAACACCGGCGTCTTGTCTCTCAGCGACACCAGCACTGGAGAAGCAATCCCTGGCCCAGAGCTGAAGTTGAATCGATTACGACCTCCACCTCGCGATGCCCTAGTTACTATCGCGCCAGGTGATATGGTCGAGAAAGAGGTCGAGCTTGTGGCGCCTTGGATACCACGCGACGGTCGATCGATCACAGTCCGTGCGCAAGGCTCGTGGCGCGCGATATGGCCGAAGGGGAAAGAGGATGTTAGCGATGAAGAGCTGGCTGCGATGTCGGGAGAGGATGTTATGGCTGGAGCGTTGAAGAGCGTTGGGGAAGCTCGGATCGAGGGTGGAAGTGTTGGCTCAATATCGATGGACTGAACTTGCATGCTTCTCCCTCACCGAGTCTTCAAGTATCCATCTGCGGAATGTGTAGGGCTGAAATAGGCTGGAAAAAGATTATTTGCACCAGCCAGACATGCATCAATCGCCTCAATTCCCACATCCTCCCCTCTCTGTGTCGGTCCATTGAATCACGCGATATACCTCTGACCACTCCACAGGATTCCGCCAGTACGTGAAACAACAACAGAAGCCGCCAGCTTCAGGCCAGAACGACCACCAAAGGAACAACAGCTTGGCCACCAAGCACACGACGACCCTAAGATCCTCCACCTACAGCTGCAAAAGATGAGGTGAGATGGCTAGCGATAGCGTTCTTTGCAGTGCTACTTGTTGGCGAAATAAAAAAAGATATTTCCAGAACTGCTGCTTGATCAGCAAATCTTGGTTTCCAAGAAAGAGAAAGAAATGGAACAGGACGCCTGAAAAAAAAAATTCAAGCCTGTCAGCAACAACACAGCACACACACTCATCCTAGAAAAGGGGATGGTGATGCCGGCTTAGTTATGACAACTACTGTACCTCTTCAGCCTTCAGCCTTCGGTTCGGTACTGCTGTCAAATATGTACAAAAAAAAACTTTGGGTCGTGGTCAGCAGCAGCCCTACGACATGCATTCCCCTGCTTATTCCTTCTTCGTTGCACGACATGTGTAGGTACATGTAGGTATTGTCTGGGAGCTGTAGGATGGAAGGAGGCATTGTTTCCTGTGTGAAGGGTGGTCTAGACAGATGCTGTGCGCATAGAGACCCTTCGGGACCAAGGAGAAGTCACTTGAAGGCACTCTGATTTGGTGGGTTTTAGAAAAGCGAAATGAAGGGGTATTGCATCGCATTATCAAGTAGAAGCGAGATTCAGATTCGGTTGTGCTTTGCTTTCCAAGACTTCTTCTCTGGCCGCGGAAGGAGGGAGGATAGGAGTGCAGGAAGGAAATTTGAGGGGAGATTCCACTCTTCCACAAGGCGTGACATTATTCATCATCAAGATCGCGTAGTTCTTGGCGATGGTGCAGTTGACCATGGGGTCTGTCCTTGCCCTGGTCGGCACTGCAGAAGGTTTTTCTGCTCCCCAAACGCCTAAAATCAAGTCCACCTGCTATGCTTCAGTATACAGCAGAGCCCAACAACTGACACTTCCGAGGTGCATTAAGTCCTCCTTGCATGCGGATTGCTGCAATCGTTCGTTGCCAGCGAGGCCAGACTCTGGCGTAACACCCGAGCCATTCGCACCACTGCACACACCGCGCCACCGGTTCGCAGCACGTTGTGTTTTCATGCGCTTTTTGCATAATACGGAAGAAACATGGCCAGCTGACGGATTGTAATTTGTCTGCAATATTGTGGCTGGCTGGGTACGGCCGAGCATGTCATCGACTATAAAACGCCGAAGTGCCCCCTCGCCAAGTTTCTCGGCACATCCACATCTCCTTGGCCACTGCTCGCTGTCTTCCTCTTCCGCCCCGCCGCGCCGCAGTTGGAGAGCCGGATCTGGGCAGTCATCAGAATTTGCTCCTACACGGACTTGCTGGCAAATCGACATGGCGCGCACGCCCATCGCACACGTCACGTGCGGAAGACGCTTGGGAGGTGGATGTGCTCAGCCCTCGCATGCTGATGGGACGCAGACCATGGCAGTGATGATGAGAGATGTCTGGGAGCACAGCACAGCGCATGTTGTCCGATGGTGCATCGGAGAATTGTCATATGCGATTACGGGCGCGTGCATGACTTGATCGTGCAGTCTGTCAGACTCTTGGTACGCTGGAAACGGCAACATCACGACACACGCCTGATTCCTTGATCGCCTGGCCAAGACTGCGGCTGCGGGTCTGAGCCCACTTCTATTCTCATTGCAGGGAGGTGCCTCGTGGAGTCGCTTGCTGCTGTGCACGCGGTACATTTTAAGAGTAGCTCGTTCGCACCAACCCTTCCTCACCATCTCTCTCGAGCCTTGGTCACAGCTCGACTTTTCCTACATTCAATCGCTACACAACAGCACCTTTCGCTTCGGCAGACATATCGGAACACACACTACCCTCCGCCTTCCCAGTAACACCCAATCAGCTTCCACCACACACCCGACAAGATGCGCGCTACTCTCGCATTCGCAGCCGCTGCCTTCGCCACAACGGTCCTCGCCGCTCCAGCACCAGGCTGGGACCAAGACGGCAAATGGAAGAATGAATGGCGCGGACAAAGCTACGGCGGCAAAGGCAAAGGTCGCGGCCACGCCTACTGCCCTCCAGACCAGGAGCCCGAAACCCAATGCCTAACACCAGAACAATGGACCGCCGGCGCCGAAATCTTCCGCCAACTCATCACCAACTACTCCGACCCCTTCGCCCTCGAAGCCCTCACCGAAGACTTCGTCGACTACTCCTCCGCCGTCAACATCATCCGTAACCGCGGCAACGACTACCCTTTCGTCGTCGACGCCATAACTTTCGACGGACGCGCAGCCTTCATGGCTGCGCAAGGAGCCCAGCCTCTCATCCCATTCGAAACTCTCGGGACGTGGGGAGGTTGCGACACCATTTCCACACGCTGGAAAACAACCCGTTCTGCCAACGGCCAAGCATCCGAATCCAACGACATCCCAGTCGTCGGCTTAGGTGGTAAGTCTCATCCCATCCCATCAACCTCTCGAATTCTAACCTTTTTTCTTCTTTTCCAGTTCTCAAAACCCGCCCCGACCCCGACAACCAATACGGTTTCCGCGTCGCGGAACTCTACTCGGAATTCAACGCCGCCGCTTGGCTTGTGAATAATGGTGTCTTCACGCCTTCGGCTGTCACGACTACGAATTTCCCGGAGGCTACGGCTGGGCCGCAGAAACGTGCGCCTCCGCCTTGGGCTGGGATTTGAAGGGAAGGGGTATTGTAGATGAGTGACGGACGGGTACGAAAAGGAGAAGGGAAGGGTTACACAGGACCCATGGCGTTTTTGTTTCGTTTGTTTCAATCTTGCATGTGAATAAAGCTAACTTCAGATTTATTGTTTATTAGGAGAGCGAAAATGAGGGGGTTTTGTATATTTGTAATTGCTCTTTTACTTCTTTAATCGGTTATATTACCTTCGCTTTATCTATCTATCTATCTAACCTACTTCTTTCTAATCTACTAACTTTTAATTATACTTCTAACTAGTTCTTATAATACCTATTAGGATCTTTAAATTAAAGAGCTATAGGAGAGGAGGCCTTAAGTTTCGCTTCTATTAGGATTTCCGATTAGTAGAAAGGTAATATCTACCTACCTACCTACCTTATCTCTTATAGGAGGATAATTTTACTTTACTTACTCGGTAAGTATAGAAGATACTAAAGTCGAGATATAACCTCTAAAAAGCGGATAACTATTAAAGTAACTTACTTATTTCTAAAGGAATATATAACTTACTATATACCTAGTACTTTTCTCTTTAAGTTAACTTAAATTATATATCCCTTTTTTTCTCTTTTTAACTCGTTCTAAAAACTAGAGTTATTAGAAAAAAATACTACTAGTATTAGTAGGGAGTAGAGGACTTCCGACTATCTAGCTAGTTAAGCTAATATATTCCCGGATAATTTACTTCGTCTTATTACTAGGTTAGAAGAATCGTACTTTCCTAGATAGGGTATTATTATTACTACTATAGGTTAAGAGATTACCGTTAGTTAATTTTAGGAAGGCGTTAATATTATTATTTAGGCTTGTTTAGGATTTCCTACTAGAAAATTTTCTTAATTTATATTATTAGTTATATTTCTTTTTATTTCGTTCGTCGATATTAGTATAAGAAGGGTATATTAGCAGGTAGATAGGGTAGTAGTAGGTACGAGTAGCATTCGACAAGGAGCTAGGAGGAGAGGGAGGAAGGCAGGCAAGTTAGCCTATTGCTAAGCGCTAAGCCCTACCTAAGGCACTAAGACCCTAGCTTTACTTAGCCTAGTTATATACTAATTACGTATAGCCTCTTTAGCCCTAATATAAGACCCTAGCTTTACTTAGCCTAGTTATATGCTAATTACGTATAGCCTCTTTAGCCCTAATATACGCTTCCCTTCTAAAGGCCGCGCCCTTATAGCCGGTCTTTGTTCTAGTCGCAACCTCTATTGCTACTAACTTAGCAGGTCTAATAAGCCGCTTAGTCCGCGCTAAATTGAACGTATAACTACCGATTATATAACTATATTAAACCTTACCTTCTAATATAATGTCTAACTCTAACTACGCTATCCTTATATATAATAAAGTAATATATAACTACAAGAATTGAGGACTATCGACTAATTACAATACGAGCGCGTCTTCCCTACTATAATAGATAGACGTACGAGGTATTGCAGCCCTACCTCCGTTCTAAGTAATATCGTACCGAGTTCTTTACGTCTACTCTTAAAAGACCTAGCAATGTCCGCTTCCGAGGGTTGTTCTTATTATTACGAGGGCTATTATTTACTATCGTAGTTTTACTAGCCCTAATTAGTTAGGTTTAGTAGCCTTCGATTATTAATCTTATCTTATCTTTTAAAAAACACAGCTCGTCTAGTTTCTATAAATAAAGGCTATTATAAGTATAGTAGTAGAGATTCGCCTCGCTTAAAGGGTTAGATAGATTAAGGAGTAACCTATTATTCGCAAGATCGACCCCGGCTAGCTTAGCTCTATAGTTTTTACTTTTAGTTAGTCTATTAGTCGCTTAATCTTTTAGGCGGCTTAAAGTTTTAATTAAAGTTTTAATTAAAGGTGCCTTAGGCTCGTAGTATAGGTAAGGTTATATCTATAGGCGTAGTAATAATAGCAAGTAATATTAACAATAGCGGCGCTAGTCGTCTTAGCGCTAACTTTACCTTACTTTCGATTTCCTTCTTCGACTAATAATATACTCTATAATACCGTTACTAATATAGCCGCGCCGGCCGTATCGCCCTTTAGTATAAGCGTAATACCGTCGTTACTATTATCCTTACTAATACTATTCGCCTACGCGTACGCGCCGCCTCTATCGACCGCCTAGGCCTTAGGGCTCCGATAGGACGTAGAATAAGAGGGGCGCTAAGAGGAGGGTCTTATAGGGTACGCTAGTAAAGAGGTAGATTCCTTAAAAGAGTAGGCGATTAGTTAATAGTTATAGCGCGTTTATTAACGCTCGGTACGTATCTACTATAGTAGTATAGTCTTATTATCCTTTGTTGCTAACAATTGCTTGCCTCTAATTAGTTAGCTAATAGCACCCTAGGGGTAGTATTAATCCTAGGCCCTAATAGTAATATTATAGCCTCTTAACCTTCTTCTTGTCCTTTATACTAGTCTAATACTCGTCTAATAACTTAGTTATATCCTTAAAAGAGTCTTTAGCCTCCTACGAGTCCTATTTAGGTAAATAGCCTTGCTATCTTAGGAGGTACTCCTTCTTACCTTATCTAGTCCGATACTTTAGTATACGCTCTATAGACTACAGTTCTTTACTATTAGCTAAGACTTCTTCTAACTTAGCAGGCGCTTTATCGCCTTCGCGCTAGTAGTATAGTTTAAGGAGGGATATATAGAAGGTATTATAGATAGTATAATAGGGTAGAAGCTATAACTAGTAGGCCTACGCGGAAGAGCCCTTAACTTCTCGAATGCGGAATAGGCTAATATATCTCGGTACGAGCTTAGGTCTTGTTTTACTATTAGGTAATAGGTATTTACGGATACGGAGGTTCTTTGTACTAAGTATAACTATATCGCCTTGTTTAAAGGTTATCGGTATATAGCGCTTATCGTAGTAGGCCTTTTAATACTCTTAAGCCTTTGTTAGCTTCTTAGCTATCTTAGTATAGATTTCTCGCATCTTCTAGACACGTTCTATCGCCGCTAGTGTCTCTAGTACTTAACGCGCTTCCCTTTCCTTACGCTCGGCCTCGAGCGATAGTAGGTCTTATAGTATAGCAGCGTTCTAGCCTATTATAGCTATATATAGTAACACCTTAGTTAATAAGTAGACACTGTTATTGTATACGAATTTAGCTAGTTATAGGAGGTTAACCTAGTCGTTAGGGTTCTCGTTAATATAACTGCGTAGGTACTGCTATAGGGTAGCATTCTGCCTCTCTATTTGACCGTTAGTCTGTAGATAGAAGGCTGTTAATAGCCGATGCTTTAGTCTTAGCTATAGGTATATTTCGCTCTAATAGTGCGATATTAGTATCGATCTACGATTAGATACTATCCCCTTAGGGGTTCCCTAATAGGTGCAGAAGATGTTAGTCTATAGCGCCTCTACTATATTAATAGTAGTCTAATCCTTGCGCGCCGGGATGTATCGAGCGCCTTTAGTAAATCGATCTACTATAATAAGGATAGCATTATATATATCCTTACTGCCCCTACGCTTAGCAGGAGGAAGGCCTATAATAAAGTCTATTATTAGCTTAGCAAATAGCTTCTTTAGAACAGGGAGCGAAGACAACTCGCCGAACGGTAAGTGCTTCGGTGCTTTAACTCGCTAGTATACTATATAAGTCTATATATACTCCTTTATATACCGCTTACTATTTAGCTAGTAGTATATACGCGATAGTAACTCGTGCGACCTCTCTATGCTATAGTAACTAGCGAGTTTACTATTATAGTGCCTCTTTAAAAGCTCTTGTCTAATCGATTGTTTAGCGGGGACATAGTATCTGCCCTTAAACTTTAAGTAACCTTTGTCGTCGATCGACTAATTGTTATTACTCTTACTAGATCGAGTCGCCCGTCTACTTATAAGCTTATTAATACGCTCGATAGCAAAGGCGTCCCTCTACTAAGTACGTAACAGCTTATCTATAAACGATTAACTATCCCTATTTGTAAGGTTATTTAATAGCACCCTCGCTATCGAACGAGGTACGTATTATATATATCTAATAGTACTAGTAGCCGGAACTACTATAACCTCTTCTATAGTACTATCGCTATATAGGCTATTACTATAGATAGCAATGTCTTTAATCGAGTTATTATAGCTCGAGCGATCTACGTCCTTTCTAACGTATACTAGAAGAACGACAACTCCGCTATAGTATTTGTTGCCGCCGCGGGGTCCGGAAGTCCGCTTATCCTACGCTTGCTTATTAACAATACGGGCTATAGCAATCTTATACTATAGGGTTAGAAACAAAGAATTAATATATTAGGTCTCGCTATCGTAATTAGGTCGCCTCGATAGGCTATTAGTAGGGTTGCTTACGCCTAGCCGATATAATATATTAAAATCAAACCCGGCGAGGTAGACGGCCTATCTAGCCTATCGACCTATAACCCTAGTAACCTTAGTAATACTACGGAGGTTGTTATAGTCTATATAGACCTAAATAGTATGCTATACACTATCGAGATAGTGCCTCTAATACTTAAAGGCCTCGATAATAGCTAGGAGCTCTTACTTATAGGTCTCGTAGCGACGCTCTATATCGATTATCTTTCGTAAAAAGAAGGCAATTAGGTACTAGTAATTGTCCTTATCTGATTGCTATAATATAATAGCCGATATAGCGAACTGTAAAGCGTTAGTCTTAATACGGATCTGCTTGCTTAGTACAAAATAGTGCAATAAGGGGACTTTAGTAAATCGCTTCTTTAGACCGTTAAAAGCGGCTTGTGTCTTGTTAGTCTATTTAAATTCCCTAGACGGGTTAGCCTTAGTTTTAGTAAGCTTAGTTAGGGGCATTATATGCCGTAAATAGCCCTTAATAAAGCGGCGGTAGAAATTAGCGAAGCCGAGGAACGATTAAAGCTCCTTAATAGACGTAGGAATAGGCTATTTAGTAATTGTTTTAATCCGATTAGGATTAGCCTTAACACCCTCGGTTAATACGAGGAAGCTAAGGAAGGATACCTCTTTAGTAGTAAAGGTGCATTTAGAAGGTTTGCAATATAGTCTATAGGCTCGTAGGCGGTCGAGGACCTTACGTACTACGGCCTAGTATTCTATAATATTAGGTAAATGTGTGTAAACTAGGATGTTATCTAGGTAAACTATATAGAGATAGTCTAATAGGCCCGAAAGGGCCCGATTAATATAGGACTAGAATGTTATAGGGGCATTAGCTAGCCTAAATAGTATAACTAAGTACTCGAAATAGCTATAGCGAGTACGGAAGGCTGTCTTCTATTTATCGCCCTTGCGAATACGGATGCGGTAATAGGCGTCCTTAATATCTAATATAGTGTAGTAGTAGGTACTAGAAAGGCGGTTAAGGGTCTTATTAATAAGCGGGAGTAGATAGCGGTCTTTAATAGTAACAGCGTTAAGCCTACGATAGTCGATATATAGGCGTAGGCTACTATCCTTCTTTAGTACGAATAGGATAGGGGCGCTAGTAGGGCTGTTACTATACCGTATCCGGCTATTAGCTAGGTTCTCCTCTAGATACTTACGCAATATAGCAAGCTCTCGTTTACTAAGGTTATAGAGGGGACTAAAGGGAACCTCCTTGCCCTCTATAATATTAATCTTATAATCCGTCTCTTTAAATATAGGCAATGTCGATACTAAGTAGTGTTTAAATACATTAATATAGGTCTCTCGAATAGGCTCTAGTATACGAGCAAGCTAATTAGGGTCTATGCTATTAGGGGGCACAGGTTTATCGTTATTACTACTAAGTAGGTCGGTAGTTAGATTAGCTAAGGCGGGGGTTAGGTTGCTAATAAATAGGACCCTAATATTATTAGGACACTCGCTAATATCGATGTATTTAATGTCCTCTCTCCTAGCGATTCTAAATCGCTATTGTTAACTACCTAAGTCTATAACTATAGTATAGTGCTTAAGAACAGGGTTGCTAATAACAATAGTAGCTCCCCTATATAGGTTGTCTATATCTACTACGTAGGCAGTAAAGTCTAGTAGACGTTCATTTCCGAGGTCGTCTTTTAGAACTATAGGAATATAGTAGGCCCTATAGGTTAAGTGCCGAGCGTTATTGAACCAAGCAAGGGTTAGCAGGCTAGTCCTAGGCAGTTATCGAAGGTCTAATTGCTTAGCTAGGCGATAGCTAATAAGGGCACTAACTAAATTTCCTAGATCTAGTATAACCTTAGTTTAATAGTTAGTGCCCTTCGTATCCTATACAAGGTAGGAGCGTGTTATAGCTAGTACAATATCGATAGTCTTACGCCGTATAAGGCTAATAGTTAGTACGGCGCTTACTCTTTTTTCGAAGGTTAGCCTATAGGGGTAGCGTTAGCGGCTAAGAGGTGCTTCTTATACTTAGCGGAGGTACGGTTAATCTAGGCCTAATCCCTAGGTTTGTCGTATTAGCCTAGGAGATAGCTAGTACTATTATAGTTAAAGCACTTCAATCCGGTTAGTAGGTTGCCGTAGCTATTGTTACTATTATTAGCCGAGCGGTTAGCATTGTAGGGATACGAGCCCCTTCTACGGCCCCTATTACGGCCTCCTCTATATAGCCGACGGCTACAGCCTCTTCTACGGTTATTGTTACTGCTCCTATTATTAGTACTATTGTTTTAGTAGGAACCTTAGTTTCCCCTACGGGCACTACGGTTACTACGGTTAGTACTAGCTAGTCGGATCCTTAATTCTAGTCGTTATTAGAGCTAGATAGCTCGTTCGGCTATTTCTACTTCGACTATAAATTAAATGCGTATTAGGTTAGCTTATTCGAATATACGGCGACGGTCTAATTCGAGGATAAGTTCCTACCTAAGTTTTAGGCGTATCTCGGAGATCTATATAGAATTAGTCTTAGGCGGAAGGTCGTCTTTAAGGGTTTTTAAGTAGGCCTCGAATAAACGAGCCGATTAATTAGTCTTTTATTTAGCTCGAAGATATAGGTCCTAAGTATATTGTTGCCTTAGTATAGGGTTACTAAGGGTGTCTAGTATAATGGTTTTATAGGTTTGCTACTAAATAGCGGTTTAATTATCGAGGGAATCGAAATAGTTATCCTAGGTACGCTTTAGGTCGCTATTAATATACTATATAGCGTAGACAACTAATAAATAGTCGTCTAGAAGAGCCCTTAGTGCGTTTCGCTAGTTAAGCTTATAGTTACGAATATAGTCGTTATATTGCTTGCGACTAGATCCGTTAAACATAGTGCAGTCCTTAAGTTTAGCATCCTTCTTTTAGATAGGTAGTAAAGAAGGTCCTACTATAGGTTTAGTAGTAGTCGTTAGGGCTTCCTAAAGGCGACGGAGCTCGAGGAGGTTATCCTTTAGCTATTGCTCTTAACGTAGGGCAGTAAGCCTGTTTTAGGTAGCTTCTTAAAGTCTCCCTAATAGTTAAGGCCTAAAGGCTAGTTAGCTATATCGTCGATTAACAATATTATTAAGAATGTTGTTAATAGGCAATTCCGGATTATTACCTAGAATTATAGGTTCTTCTTTAGTAGGCTCTCCGGTAGGCTCTTTAGTAGGAGGCACTTTAGCAGGTGCTTTAGTAGGCACTTTAGTAGGCACTATGCTACTAGCATTGTCGTTGCTAGCGCTGCTAGCGGCGCCGCGATTGTTGTTTCGTAATAAGCCGGCTATTATAATAAGGGATAGTACTAATAATATATTATTAGCCCCTAAGATACGGATATAGCGGAATTAGTAGATATCGGTCTAGTATACTTAACTTAGTATAATAGGCCGTATAGAAGGCCTTGCTTAATAATTAGTACGGTTGTTTCGATAGAATAGTACGTATAGGTCCCGTTCTTTAGGCGTAATATAGTTAGATTAGTCTTGTTTGTAGCTATACCGCTAAAAGCTTGAAATAAGAACTATCTAGCTACTACCCTTAAAGGGTAGATCGAATACTATATAAGAAGGGTATATTAGTAGGTAGATAGGGTAGTAGTAGGTACGAGTAGTATTCGATAAGAAGCTAGGAGGAGAGGGAGGAAGGCAGGCAAGTTAGCCTATTGCTAAGCGCTAAGCCCTGCCTAAGGCACTAAGACCCTAGCTTTACTTAGCCTAGTTATATACTAATTACGTATAGCCTCTTTAGCCCTAATATAAGACCCTAGCTTTACTTAGCCTAGTTATATACTAATTACGTATAGCCTCTTTAGCCCTAACAATTAGGCTACTATTAAATCTCGATTCGGTATTAGAAATCGCTAGCTTTAGTAGGTAGGGGTTATATCGTACGCTATACCGAGAGTTTAATTAGTAAGCGCTACTATTAGGCTCGAGATATTAAGAAAGGCCTCTATCGATTCTATAGTACAATTAAGCGAGATAGCGGACGGTAGTAATCTCTAAAAACGGGATCTAACTAGTTAAAGCTAGCGTACTACCTAAAGGAATTATCTATACTTTTAAAAAGTTTACGTCTAACGCTTTTAAGCTAGCTGCCATTTACGGGGATTACTCCCGTCCGCTATCTCGCTTAATCGCACTGTATCTAGCTAGGGTAGCGTTAGTACAAGCCTAGAGAGCCTTACTCGTAGATCCTCTTATCTAACGCGGTAGAGTCCGTAGCTTTCGAAAGAAGCCGAGGGACTTTGCAGTAATCCTGCTGCTAGAGTAGTGTATAGAATAAGGCCAGCACTGTATCGATCATCGCATTTGTGCGGATAGTTCGCGTCTTGACAATGCAGTTCTAGGGAGGGAGGGAGTTCCGCTGCACATCGGTCCGATCGAATGCACACAGACCACGTCTTCGCGGGCCGATCGCAAGGTTCCAGCTTCACTTTCGCGCATTCACATGAAGACAGTCTCGATATGCTATCAACAAGGCTTCAATGCTCGATACATCGATTCTCAAGCGTTACTCACCACCATCGATAATGCCCTCACGATAACACGACGCGATGTTCAACTTCACGCCGCTCCTGGGCGCGCAGACAGCCTCGCCGGCCTCACAATCACTACTCGAGCTCGATGGAGGAGTCAAGATTCTGGTCGATGTTGGATGGGACGAGACATTCGACACGGGAAAGCTGCAGGCGCTGGAGAAGCATGTCTCGACGCTGTCGGTGATCCTTCTGACCCATGCGACCATTGAGCACATCGGAGCCTATGCGCATTGCTGCAAACATGTGCCTGGCTTCGCGAAAGTGCCTGTCTATGCGACTACACCTGTCGTCAATCTGGGCAGGACCCTCGCAGCAGACATCTACGCCTCCAGCCCATCGGCAGCGATCACAATACCAGCATCCAGTATTGGCCCTTTGAACTCGAATGCGACGCCGAATCTCCTCCTCCCCGCGCCCACGGCGGAAGAAGTCGCAACTTACTTCAGCGCGATTCATCCTTTGAAGTACTCCCAGCCACACCAACCTCTTCCGAGCCCGTGGAGTCCTCCGCTGGGCAACCTCACTATCACGGCTTACAGCGCAGGACACACGCCTGGTGGCACAATATGGCACATACAACACAGCTTGGAGAGCATCGTATATGCTGCAGACTGGAATCAGGGCAGGGAGAATCTGCTTTCTGGAGCGGCGTGGCTGGGTGGGAGCGGCGCTGGTGGAGGTGCAGAAATTATCGAGCCACTGCGGAGGCCGACAGCGCTGGTCTGCAGCAGCAGGGGCGTAGAAAAGACAGATGTGCTGCCTAGAAAGAAGAGAGACGAGACGCTCATCAGCCTGATAAGAGAAACAATAGCACAAGGTGGAAAAGTACTCATACCGACCGATTCGAGCGCAAGAGTGCTAGAGCTCGCATTCATTCTCAATCATACCTGGCGCGAAAACACCAGTGGACCGCATGCGGACACCTACAGGAATGCGAAAATCTATATGGCAAGCAAGAGCAGTACAAGCACGGTTAGGCAATTGCAGAGCATGCTCGAGTGGATGGACGACACCATCATTCAGGATGCGGAGCGTGCCATGAACAAGGGCCAGAGGGATGATGATAAGGCGCCAAATCTCTTGGACTGGAAGTTTGTGAAGCAGATTGAGCGTCAGACGCAGTTTGATCGTGCGCTGCGGAGAAGAAGTCCTTGTATCATGCTCGCGAGCGATGCTTCGATGGAATGGGGATATTCGCGGCAGGCGTTGGAGAAGCTCTCAGCAGATCCTCGAAACCTGGTCGTGCTGACGGAGAGCATCTCTCAAAGCCAGGCCGCTCATTCGAGCATTGCCACTCAGCTGGCAGATGCGTGGAAAGCGAGCAGTAAATCCATATCTCAGACAGGCGCCAAAGTGGTGGGCGCAGATGGCAAATCAATCCTCCTGCGCGATGCTTCAGTTGCAGACTTGACCGCAGATGAAGACGCCCTGTACCAGCAATACGCCGCGCGACAACGCCAGCTACACAGCACCCAACTCGGCGACAACACCGAGAACGATGCAACCACTACGGAAGTCGCCGATCAGGAAGCCGAAGAATCGTCAGATTCGGAAGATGAAGATGAGGACCCAGAACATCAAGGCCGCGCCTTGAATCTTTCTGCTCAGATGACGCAAAGCAATAAACGAAAGGCAGGTGTATCTGAGGCAGAGCTAGGCATCAATGTCTTGATCAGGAGCAAGAACGTGCACGATTATGACGTGCGGAATAAGCGTGGTCGGGAGAAGATGTTTCCATTCGTGTCGCGGCGGCCGAAGCATGATGACTATGGTGACATTATCAAGCCAGAAGATTATCTCCGCGCTGAAGAGCGAGACGATGTGGACGGTGTTGACATGCGCGATGGCGCTAAGCAGGGCGAAGCAGCGGTTGGACAGAAACGCAAATGGGACGATGTGGCCAACACCGCCGATAAGAAGGGCGCGAAGAAGCCGAAACAAGAGAAGCCGCCAAAACCTGCCAAGGTCGAACGAGAACCCGACGACATCGATGCTCTCATCGCTCGTGCTACTGGCGTTGCCGATGACGGAGCTGGCGTGGCAGGTGCCGATGGTGCTGAGTCTGAAGAGAGCAGTGACAGCGAAAGTGACTACGAGCCAGAAGACTCTGTGGACCAGCAGCGACCGCAGAAGCTTGTGTTTGTAGAACGGAGCTTGACACTGCAGCTCCGAATAGCCCATATCGACTTCTCCGGTCTTCACGAGAAGCGTGATCTGCAGATGTTGATACCGCTGATCAGACCGCGGAAGCTCATTTTGATATCTGGAGACACTAGCGAGACACAAGCACTTGCTGACGAGTGCCGACAGCTGCTTGCCGAGGGCGAGACGAAGTCGGCAGATGTGCTCGCTCCTGTTATAGGTGAGACTGTGGACGCCAGTGTCGATACCAACGCATGGACGCTCAAGCTCAGCCGACAGCTGGTGAAGAAGCTGACTTGGCAGAACGTCAAAGGTCTTGGTGTTGTTGCATTGACTGGCAGGCTTGATGCCGAGCCGATTGAGACATCAAGTCCAGCTGAAGAGGAGGCCGCAAGAAAGAAGCAGAAGCTGGCGAAGAAAAAGGAGGACGATGAGGCTGAGAAAGAGTCCAAGTCTGTCGCCATTCCAGCAATGCCCGTGCTCGACCTTCCAGCAACATCAGCGACTGCGACACAACAGCGTGTCACACAACCGGTGCACGTAGGAGATTTGCGACTCGCTGACTTGCGAAGGTTGATGCAAGCTTCGGGCCACACGGCAGAGTTCCGTGGTGAAGGTACGCTTCTCATTGACAGCACAGTCGTGGTGCGGAAGTCGGCCACGGGTAGGATCGAGGTGGAGACGCATCAGGGCGGGTTGTCGCAACCAGCCTATCGTACCAAGGAAAACGAGGGCAGCTTCTATGCTGTACGAAAGCTGATCTACGGCGGACTTGCTGTCGTTGCAGGAGTGTAGGTATAGTGGTGAGATACTCAGGAGAAGATATGTTGCAAGGTGCGGCATGCTTTGGCCTCATCTTTGACATTGATAGCACAGGGTACACATGCAGAATCGGCATATCACGAGAACGCCACTGTGCTATCTCGCGTTAACATCCCGCACCCTCGCCATGGGGACCGCACTGCTCACGTCAAGATTGCTGGAGTCATCCGGCGCATGACATTCCCTAAAGCGGATGTCTTCGATCTCGTCAAGTGCTCATTCGGGAATGCCTCATGGCGTTTGGGCTTCGCCTGACCGACCACGTTGCTCAGCACAAACCGACATGACCCATTCACCATTGTTTGCTCCAGCCATGTGCTGGCGGGCATTCAGATTTCCCATCTTCCAACACCTATAAGTCAATGGTCAATCTTCCCCATTGAACACATCAAGCTATCGAAGCAATCCGAACACAGTCGACCACCTCGACCACCCAAAGCTCTTCCAACTTACCAAGCCTCACCATCAATCCTCGCTGCTCCCCACAACGACCCCATGAACTTCGCCCCATACCAGTGGCGTCACGACCAAGGCTACCTCCCACCACCCGGAAGTGTCCCCATCCCAATCATCCCAGCCATGTCCGCCCCACAACTAGTCCACCAAATCGCCTACCAAACTGCTCCTCCTCCTCCTCCTCCAGCCTACTGCTTCCCACCCAATCAACCTTTCCTCGCCGCCTCCCCACCACCACCACCACCACCACCAAAACCCTGCTCCCAAGCTCCATCCCACACCTTCACAATCGCAACCCAAACCTCCGAACCCAAACCCCCTCCCGCCCCATCCACCGTCGCCTCTTCCAATGCCTACGCTCCCCCGACCCTCCGCCCGGGAACAAACTACCTCTTCCCTTCCAAATCCTCCCACACAATGCTGCACATCTTCTCCAAAGCCTCCACCAAAATCTGGGAACACGACTCCCCCCCAAAATCTCTAAATTTCAAAATTTTCAAAGTCGCCACGAATTTCCGGGTCAAGGATGTGATTGAACGGGTTTTGAAGACGGGGGATTGTGAGGGGTGGTGTGTTACGGAGGTTGTGGAGGTGGGGGGTGGGAGGTGGAGGAAGGGGACGACGGTGAAGTTTGGGGAGGAGAAGGGGTTGGGGACGTTGGCGGATATGGGGTGGAATGGGAGGAGGGGAGGGGAGTTGCCGCCGGTTTGGTTGGTTGTTCATAAGGAGTGATTGGGAGAGGGGTGGAGGATGTGATGGATGGGGGGTTGGTTTTGGATTTTAGAGGCTGGGTTGAGTGATGGGAGAGGATGGGAGGGTTATATTGACCCGGGCTGTTTTTCTTTGATGCATTGAGGGATGTGGTTGCGATACGTGTGAGTACTGGCTGCGAGGTGTTTTTTTTTTTGAACCCCTTATACGGCGTGGATTTCGTGGTTCAATTTGCAGGAAGCGAGCGATGGGCTGGACCCGTTTGGATGCTATGGCTGAGGAGCTCTGATATGTCTGCTCTGACTACTGCATGCAATCTTTCTGTCCATATACTCACACCTTCCAAGCTCGTGACTTTCTCACCTGCCGTCTGCATGAGCTGAGCAAATGCACTTGTGTAAGGTATATGCAGAAGCCCTGAGCACCTTTCCTCAATCCTGACTGCCTGGGAATATGAAGTGCAGATGTTTTTCGCAGCTCGGAACGCCTGAAGACCCTCTGTGCCAGGTACAATACCGATTGACGTGGATGAATATAGCTCTCCTCTCACACAAGCCGGAGAGTCGCAAGGACCGACTCAGCTGCAGCTCAATGTGATCGTTTGCGGGGTTTCAGCCCTGCGGATAAACCGGTCGGTCATCGGTCAGTCGTCACTAGTCTGTGTTGGTGAGCGGAAACTGCAGCTGATGAGGATTCCGTAGTCTAGCACAAACAACCTATATAACACACGAGACGACAAAACCTCAACTTACCTGCAATCAGCACTTTGTAACTCTCTCGGTGGCTTACAATCTCCAAAAATCATGGGTCTCCCGACTGAGCAGCGTGCGGCAGTCAGAAGGGGCGAAGGCCAGGAAACTACGGCTCCCGTCAAGACAGTTCCCGTACCGCAAGAGCCAGGACCAGGCCAGATCTTGGTGAAGATCAATTGGACAGGATTATGCGCCTCCGACAAATCCCTCCTACACGACGAATGGCAGGTCTTCGGCGTGAAGATGATGGAGCAGTCAAGTGGAATCGCTGGCCATGAAGGCGCTGGGGAGGTCGTTGCTGTGCATCCAGATGTGAGCGAGCTCTGGAAGGTCGGTGATCGAGCGGGAGTGAAGTGGGTGGCGTCCGTGTGCCGTCACTGCGAGTTCTGTACTAATGGAACTGATGAGCTGCATTGTCCCAAGCAGCTGAATTCTGGCCTTTCCGTTCCAGGCACTTTCCAGGAATATTGTTTGACAGATGGTCGCTATGCCACTCGCATACCGGCCGGTGTGTCCGACGAAGAGGCAGGCCCAATCATGTGTGGAGGTGTGACTGCATACACTGCGTGCAAGAGAAGTGCTGTGAAGCCAGGGCAATGGCTCGTCGTTATTGGGGCTGGAGGTGGTAAGTGGTGGCCAGTTCTTCCAAGATTCCAGATTGACCTGCTAATGTCAATGCACAGGGCTTGGTCATTTTGGCGTGCAGTACGCAAAAGCCATGGGCATGCGGGTCATTGCGATCGATGGAGGCGACGAGAAGGACCGGCTTTGCAAAGATCTCGGTGCTGAGGCGTATATTGATTATACCAAGGTTCAAGACCTCCCAGCCGAGGTCCTTAGGTTGACGACCTATGGTGCGCATGGCATCATCGTCTTCGCGGCGAGTCGTCAAGGCTATCAAGTGGCTCCAGCATTGGCTCGTCCTGGAGGTACCATTGTCGCCGTTGGTCTTCCCGCGCAGGCGGACATCATTGCAGGTGCACCTCCCGTCGCTCTGGCTATGAAGCGGCTCAACATTGTCGGATCTGTGACGGGAACGCTTAAGGTGAGCTTTGCCTTGACAACGAGCTTCTCCCAAGCCTGATGCTGATGCTGATATTCCTTCTCGTAGGACGTTGAAGAAGCGCTTGACTTTTGTGCTCGGGACTTAGTACATCCCATCCTGACGAAGGGCACGCTTGATGATGTCGACAAGTTCTGCAAGCTTCTGAGTGAAGGCAAGCTGCCAGGCCGGGCGGTATTGAAGGTTGCAGCGTAGCCTGCGTAACGGAAAGAATGATGTGTAGTCGCTTGAAGTCGTCCATCAAGGTCAAATCACAGTAGTACTATACAGCAGTACAGGTGTTCCTAGCAGTAATGTCCAAACCTTAGTAATTACTGAAATAGTAATTACTATAGGGACAGAGTAATTACTAAAAGTAATTACTATAGGGACAGAGTAATTACTAAAAGTAATTACTCTAGTAATAGTAATTACTATTACTACGAGATTTGAGAGATAGTAATACAGATAGTAATTACTAAATAGTAATTACTATATTACTATTATATTACTATTTTCTATTAATAGAAAAGTTCTTTTAGAATAAGAGATTCTTAATAGCTTTTTATAGATATAGTACTATTATATATATTTTCTTAAGATTATATAATATATCTATAAAAATAAAGTACTTCTCTAGATATAAATAGTATATAGTAATTACTATACTACTATATAGTAACAAGTAATTACTAAATAGTAATTACTATTACTATAGGATTCCGAAAAAGAGTAATAGTAATTACTATTACTACGTCCCGAAATTTCTATAGTAATTACTACTTACTAAGGTTTGGACATCACTGGTTCCTAGTGAAGACCCCGGCTGAAGGGAAAAATTCGATCTCGGCCGAGGCCGAGGCCCGTGCGCAACTCTACCAACCTCCATCTCGTTCTTCCCAGATCCGCGGCAACTACATAGTAGTACTGTATCTCATTTATCGTTATCTACCTTCTGTTTAAAGGCTTGTTCAGTATTGAACCAATCGTACCTGTCGCAACATAGGGCACCCTAAAGGCAATGCGATTGAAGACTACGTAGAACACGGTTCTACCGTCCACGGACCGGCAGCCGGTCACCTGTAGCCTTCGAGCCCCTGCCGAAGGCAATTGTGGAAGAAATACAATCGACCTCATTCCGACTCCTGAACGATCAAGCGTTCACCTCCCAATCCGCGAAGATGGCACACTACTTCGACGCCCAGTTAAAGCGTCCCAAAGACTTCAATTTCGCCACAGATGTCGTCGACTACTGGGCCAAGAAGGCGGAAAAAGGTTGTGCCATGCACTGGATATCCCAGGACCGGAAGCAGGAACGTCGACTATCGTTTGAGCACTTCAGTCGACAGTCTCATCGCCTAGCCGTACTTTTTCGCGACAAGCTTGGCGTGCAAAAAGGCGAAAAGATGCTGATCATCATGCCGCGCCTGCCCGAATGGTGGGAAATCGCCACGGCTGGCATTCGAAGCGGGATCGTCATATGTCCGGCAACGACGCTGCTCGTCGACAAAGACATCGAGTATCGAGCGAACAGGTCGAAAGCTTCGGTTTTCCTGGGTGACAGTGTAGCTGTCCGGAAAATGCTGAAAGTGAGAAAGAACTGTCCATCCATCCAGCATATTTTCCAACTGGATGGGGAAGCTTGCAGCGATGTACTGCTCCTCAGCGAAGCCTTGAAGTCGGTTCCTCGAGACGCGAAATACCTTGGTGCAAAGCCGGCGCTCAAGGATCCTTCGATGATCTACTTCACGAGTGGTACGACGGGACCGCCGAAGATGGTGCAGCATAATCAGATTTCTTATCCACTTGCATCCACGATCACTGGGAAACATTTCCATCGATTGGAGCCAGGACAGCTGAATTGGGTGTTGACCGAACAGGGCTGGGCGAAGGCAGCGTGGGCGTTTTTAGGGACATGGAATTGCGGTGCCGGGATTTTCATCCATGATGATCGTGGCGCTTTTAATCCGAAGACGACGCTGGACATTTTGAACAGCTATCCTATCACTACATTTTGTGCACCTCCAACCGTCTACAGGCAGCTTGTGCTTGACGAAAGTCGGAAGTACCTCAAACGGAATCCTCCACGATCTCTGCAACACTGCACAGGTGCCGGTGAGCCGCTGAACCCGGAAGTCATCCGTCTTTGGCTTGAGACCACGGGGATGGAGATTTGCGATGGCTTTGGGCAAACAGAGACCATCCTTCTCTGCGGTAATTTCAAAGGCAATCCCATCCGACCGGGATCGATGGGCAAGCCATCTCCAGGAACACCATTATATGTGGTTGGCAATGATGGCAGAGAGACTGCCGCAGACGTTGAAGGTGACATTGCCATCAAGGTTGACCTCACAGAGCAATCGAACTTCTTCGGTTTATTTGATGGGTATCTGGACGAGGGAAAGCTCGATCGCAAGTTGAAGGAATGTCCAGAGGAAGGGAGAGCGTGGTACAGCACTGGCGACAGAGCGGTGCGCGACAAAGACGGTTACTTTTGGTTCGTGGGCCGGAACGACGATGTGATCAACAGTGCTGGATATCGCATTGGACCGTTCGAGGTCGAGTCGACACTCAAGCAGCATCCGGCGGTGGTTGAAAGCGCAGTCGTTTCATCTCCCGACAAGTCGCGAGGAGAAGTCGTCAAGGCCTTTGTCGTTTTGACGGCAGAATATGCGAAGAAGGACGAGGAAGCGTTGATCAAGGAGCTGCAGAATTTCTGTAAAGAGAACGCGGCACCTTACAAGTATCCGCGCAAGATCCAATTCGTGAGTGTTGTGGCGCGCTCTCTCTCTCTCTCTTTGAAGATAGCTTATGTGCTGACGAAAGCTAGGTCGATGCTTCGTTTCTTCCCAAGACAATCTCTGGAAAGATTCAGCGCAAGAAGCTTAAGCAGATGGAATGGTCGCATGAGGAAGTCAAGGCCAAGCTGTAGAATCTTTTCTTCAATTTTTTCGTTTCGTATCGTAGCGCTTGAGGCAGCGTTCCGAGCGCATTCACATTCATATTCGTATAATTGGATTTGTTGAAGTATTTCGTTGCGTGTAAGAGGAAGGCTTGGGTAATCGCGGGAGGGTTCGAGGACTGTTAAAAAAGATCTAAGACTTCTATTAAATTAAGACTCTAATACCTTTTGCGCCGAGTCTAGGGAATTGTCAGAGGCTACACGTGATTGGCATGTGACTAGCTCGAGTGAAGCCAGGGTCTCAGTGCCTCAGGCAGGGCTTGGCGCTTGGCGTTGGGCCAACTGGCCTGCGTTCCTCCTTCTCCTCCGAGTTCTCTATCGAATACTACCTGTACCTACTACTACCCTATCTACCTGCTAATATACCCTTCTTATACAGTATTCGATCCACCCTTTGAGGGCAGCAGCTAGATAGTCCTTATTTTAAGCTTTTAGCGGTATAGCTACGAAAACTATCGATTTAACTATATTACGCCCGAAGAACGGGACCTATACGTACTATTCCATTAAAACAACCGTACCAATTATTAAGCAAGGCCTTCTATACGGCCCATTACACTAAATTAATCGTACTAAGCCGATATCTACTAATTCCGCTATATCCGTATCTTAGGGGCCTATAATATATTATTAGTATTACCCCTTATTATAATAGCCGGCTTATTACGAAACAACAACCGTGCTACCGCTAGCAGCGCTAGCAATAACAACACTAGTAGTACAGTGCCTACTAAAGCACCTACTAAAGCGCCTCCTACTAAAGAGCCTACCGGAGAGCCTACTAAAGAACCTATAATTCTAGGTAACGACCTAGAATTGTCTGTCGACGATATTCTTAACAATATTGTTAACCGTCGATATAGCTAACTAGCCTTTAGTCCCCAACTAGTAGCGAGACTTTAAGGAGCTACTTAAAACAGGCTTACTATCTTACGCTAAGAATAATAGCTAAAGGATAATCTCCTCGAAATTCGTCGCCTATAAGAAGCCCTAGCAACTAATACTAAATCAATAGCAGGGCCTTCCTCTCTATTTGTTTCAGTCTAGAAGAAGAATGCTAAACTTAAGGACTATACCGTATTTAATAGCTCTAGCCGGAAGCAATATAATAATTATGTACGTAATTGTAAATTAAACTAGCGGAATGCACTAAGGGCCCTACTAGACGACTATTCGCTAGTCGTCTATGCTATATAATACATTAATAGAGACCTAAAGCGTACCTAGGATAACTGCTTTAACTCCCTTACTAATTAGACCGCTATTTAGTAGCAAACCTATAAAACCGTTATGCTAGATACCCTTAGAAACCCTATACTAAGGCAACAATACGCTTAGGACTAGTACCTTCGGGCTAAGCAAAAGACTAATTAATTAGCTCGTTTATTTAAGGCCTATCTAAAGACCCTTAAGGACGATTTGCTAGCTAGGACCGACTCTATCTAGATTTCCGAAATGCGCCCTAAATTGCGATAGGAGTTAGTCCTTAAATTAGACCGCCGTCGTGTATTCGAATAGGCTAACCTAATACGCATTTAATTTATAGTCGAAGTAGAAACAGCCGAGCGGGCTATTTAGCTCTAGTAACGACTAGAATCGAGGATCCGACTAGCTAGTACTAACCGCGGCAATCGTAGTGCCTACGGAGGCAATAGCTAAGAGTCCTATTAAAACAACAATGCTAATAATAGAAACAGTAATAGCGACCGTAGAAGAGGCCGTAGCCGGCGGCTATATAGAGGAGGCCGCGATAGGGGCCGTAGAAGAGGCTCGTACCCTTACAACGCTAACCGCTCGACTAATAGTAGCTATAGCAACCTCCTAACTAGATTAAAGTGCTTCAATTGCGATAGCACTAGCTATCTGCTAGGCTAATGCGACAAACCTAGGGATTAGGCCTAGGTCGACCGTACTACCGCTAAGTACCGAAAGCACCTCTTAGTAGCTAACGCTATCTCTATAGGCTAACCTTCTAATTAGTCGAAAAAAGAATAAGCGCCGCACTAACTATTAGCCTTATACGGCGTAAGACTATCGATATTATACTAGCTATTATACGTACCTATCTCGTATCGGACACGTATAGAACTAACTATAAGACTAAGGTTATACTAGACCTAGGAAATTCAGTTAGTACCCTTATTAGCTATCGCCTAGCTAAGCAATTAGACCTTCGACAACTGCCTAGGACTAACCTACTAACCCTTGCTTAGTTTAATAACGCTCGGCACTTAACCTACGGAGCCTACTATATCTATATAGCCCTAAGAGACGACCTCGGCAATAAGCGCCTACTAGACTTTACTACCTACGTAGTAGACATAGACAGCCTCCTATCCGATATTGTTATTAGTAACCCTATTCTTAAGTACTATACTATAGTTATAGACTTAGGCAGTTAATAATAGCGATTTAGAATCGCGAGGAAGGAGGACATTAAATATATTAATATTAGCGAGTGCCCTAATAATATTAGGGTCCTATTTATTAGTAACCTAACCCTAGCGGATCCGACGGCCGAGCTACTCGGTAGTAATAACGATAAACCTATACTCCCTAATAATCCTAATTAGCTTACTCGTATACTAGAGCCTATCCGAGAGACCTATATTAATATGTTTAAACACTACCTAGCATCGACATTGCCTATATTTAAAGAGACGGATTATAAGATTAATATTATAGAGGGCAAGGAGGTCCCTTTTAGCCCCCTCTATAACCTTAGTAAACGAGAGCTTACTATACTGCGTAAGTACCTAGAGGAAAACCTAGCTAATAGTCGAATTCGATATAGTAACAGCCTTACTAGTGCACCTATCCTATTCGTACTAAAGAAGGATAGCGGCCTGCGTTTATATATTAATTATAGAGGGCTTAACGCTATTACTATTAAAGACCGCTACCTACTCCCGCTTATTAATAAGACCCTCGACCGCCTTTCTAGTACCTACTACTATACTATATTAGACATTAAGGACGCCTATTACCGCATCTGTATTCGCAAGGGCGATAAATAGAAGACAGCCTTCCGCACTCGCTATAGCTATTTCGAGTACTTAGTTATGCTATTTAGGCTAGCTAATGCCCCTACTATATTCTAGTCCTATATTAATCGGGCCCTATTAGGCCTACTAGACTACCTCTGTATAGTTTACCTAGATAACATCCTAGTTTATATATACTCCCCCGATATTACGGAGTACTAGGCTATAGTCCGTAAGGTGCTCGATCGCCTACGAGCCTATAGCTTATATTGCAAGCCTTCTAAATGCACCTTTGCTACTAAAGAGGTATTATTCCTCGGCTTCCTCGTATTAACTAAGGGTATTAAGGCTAATCCTAATCGAATTAAGACTATTACTAAATAGCTAATACCTACTAGTATTAAAGAGCTTTAATTATTCCTAGGTTTTACTAACTTCTACCGTCGATTTATCGAAAGTTACTCGCGGCACGTAATGCTACTAACTGAACTTACTAAAACTAAGGCTAATCTATCTAGAGAGTTTAAATAGACTAATAGAGCACAAGCCGCTTTTAACGGTTTAAAGAAGCGCTTTACTAAAGTCCCCTTGTTATACTATTTTGTACTAAATAAGCAGATCCGAATTAAGACTAACGCTTTACAGTTCGCTGTATTAGCTATAATGTCTTAGCAGTTAGACAGTAACTACTACTAGCACCTAATTGCCTTCTTTTTACGGAAGATAATCGATATAGAACGTCGGTATAAGACCTACGAGTAAGAGCTCCTAGCAATCGTAGAAGCCTTTAAGTACTAGCGCTACTATCTTAATAGTGCATAGCATACTATTTAGGTCTATACGGACTATAACAACCTACGTAGGATTACGAAGGTTACTAGGGTTATAGGTCGATAGGCTAGATAGGCCGTCTACCTCGCCGGGTTTAATTTTAATATGCTACATCGGCTAGGTATAAGTAACTCTACTAATAGCCTATCGAGGCGACCTAATTACGATAGCGAAACCCAATCTATTAATTTATTGTTTCCAACCCTATAGTATAAGATTGCTATAGACCTCGTAGTAAGGTAAGCGTAGGATAAGCGGCTTACCGGACTCCGCGACAGCTTAAAGCATATTAATGCTCTTACTATATTAATAGTACGTATTAAGGTAAGGGCTAAGGACACAAATAGGAGAAGTTATAATAACTCCCTAGTCGATATCGCTATATATAGTAACAGCGATTAAAGCACTAATATAGTTAATCCGGCTACTAGTACTATTAGATATATATAATGCGTACCTCGTTTAATAGCGAGGGTGCTATTAAATAACCTTGCAAATAGGGATAGTCAATCGTTTATAGATAAGCTATTACGTGCTTAGTAGAGGGACGCCTTTACTACTAAACGTATCGATAAGCTTATAAGTAGGCGAACGACTCGATCTAGTAAGAGTAACTAGTCGATCGATAACAAAGGTTACTTAAAGTTTAAGGGCAGATACTATGTCCCCGCTAAACAATCGATTAGATAAGAGCTTCTTAAGCGACACTATAATAGTAAGCTTGCCGGTTACTATAGTATAGAGAGGTCGCACGAGCTACTATCGCGTATATACTACTAGCTAAACAGCAAGCGGGATATAAAGGACTACGTAAACACGTGTGCCGTATGCTAACGTGTTAAGGCACTAAAGTATTAGCCTTTTAGCGAGTTATCCTTATTGCTAACCCCTTACAAGCCATTTGCAGAGCTTATAATAGATTTTATTATAGGTCTTCCCCCTACTAAGCGAAGGGGAAGCAAAGACATCTTTAACGCTATCCTAGTCGTTATAGACCGGTTTACTAAGGGCGCTCGATATGTCCTAGCGCGGAAAGATTAGGCTACTATTGATATAGTAGAATCGCTATAGAACAACATCTTCTATACCTATTAGGGGACCCCTAAAGGGATAGTCTCTAACCGAGGCTCGACATTTATATCCTATTATTAGAGTAAGATTTGCCTATAGCTAAGACTTAAGTATCGCCTGTCTATAGCGTTCTATCTACAAACAGATAGTTAGACCGAAAGGCAGAATACTACGCTATAGCAATACTTACGAAGCTACATTAATAAGGACCCTAATAGATAGGTTAACCTCCTATAACCGGCCGAATTTGTATACAATAATAGCGTACATTTATTAACTAAGGTTTTACTATATATAGCTATAATAGGTCAAAACGCCGCGTTACTATAGGGTCTATTTACCTCGCTCGAGGCCGAGCGTAAGGAAAGGGAAGCGCATTAAGCCCCTAAAATACTAGCGGCTATCGAGAGGGTTCAAAAGATACGAGAGATTTACGCTAAGATAGCTAACAAACTAGCAAAGGCCTAGGCCTATTAGAAGGCCTATTATAACAAACACTATATACCGATAACCTTTAAGCAAGGCGACATAGTTATGCTTAGTATAAAGAACCTCCGTATCCGCAAACACCTATTACCTAATAGCAAAATACGCCCTAAACTAGCGCTACGGTTTATTAGCCCCTTCCGCATCCGAGAACCGAAGGGCAATAGCTAGGCCTATTAGTTATAGCTCCTACTATACTATACTATCTATAACACCTTCTACATCTCCCTCCTTAAACTATACTACTACCGCGGAGACTCTAATAAAGAAGCCCCTACTAAACATAAAGAGATACTAGCTAACGGTAAAGAGCTATAGTTTATAGAACGTATCCTAAAGCACCGAACTAGGTAGGGTAAAAAGGAATACCTATTAAGGTAGCAAGGCTATTTACCTAAATAGGACTCGTAGGAAGCTAAAGCCTCTTTTAAAGATATAACTAAGTTGTTAGATAAGTATTAGACTAGCGTAAAGGACAAGAAGAAGGCTAAGAGGCTATAATATTACTATCGGGGCCTAGGATTAATGCTACCCCTAGAGTGCTATTAACTAACTAATTAGAGGCAAGCAATTGTTAGCAACAAAGGATAATAAGACTATACTACTATAGCAGATACGCGCCGAGCGTTAATAAACGCGCTATAACTATTAACCAATCGCCTACTCTTTTAAGGGATCTACCTCTTTACTAGCGCAACCTATAAAACCCTTCTCTTAGCGCCCCCTCTTATTCCTTCCTTCTATCGGGGCCTTAATACCTAGGCGATCTACGAGGACGGCGCGCGCGTAAACGGTAATAATAATAATAACGACAGCGCGGCCGGCGCGGCTATATTAGTAATAGTGTTGCGGAGTGTGTTACTATTTAAGAAAGGAAGGATATAGCTATATTAGTAACGGTATTGCCGAGTTGTTATTAGTTAAAGAAGGAAACTAGAAGAAGGTAAAGTTAGCGCTAAGACGACTAGCGCCGCTATTATTAATATTACTTGCTATTGTCGCTGCGACTATAGATATAACCTTACCTATACTACGAGCCGGAGCGTACCCTACCGGCTAAGTCAAAAGAATAGCTATATTAAAGGTTTAATCAAAACTTTAATTAAAACTTTAAGCCGCTTAAAAGATTAAGCGACTAATAGACTAACTAACTAAGGGCAAAACTATAGAGCTAAGCTAGCCGGGGTCGATCTTGCGGACAATAGGTTACTCCTCGATCTATCTAACCCTTTAAGCGAGGCGAACCTCTACTACTGCACTTATAATAGCCTTTACCTATAGAAACTAGAAGAACTAAGTTTTTTAAAAAGATATAATTAGTTGACACTTAAAGGCTACTAAACCTAACTGATTAGGGCTAGCGAAACTACGAACAATAATAGCCCTCGTAACAATAAGAACAATAACCCTCGGAAGCGGACAAACCCTCGGAAGCGGATATTGCTAGGTCTTTTAAGAGTAGACGCAAAGAACTCGGTACGACATTACTTAGAGCGGAGGCAGGGCTATAATACCTCGCACGTCTACCTATTATAGTAGGGAAGACGCGCTTGTATTGTAATTAGTCGAAGGCCCTTAATTCTTATAGATATATATTACTCTATAGTTTATTATATATAGGGATAGCGCAGTTAGAGTTAGACATTGTACTAAAAGTAAGGTTTAATATAGTTATATAATTAGGTAGTTAAGTGTTTAATTTAGCGCGGCTAAGTAGTTTATTAGACTTACTAAGTTAGTAGTAACGGAGGTTAAGGTTAGAATATAGAAAGGCTACGAGGGCGCGGCCTTTAGAAGGGAAGCGTGTATTAGAGGCTATACGTGATTGGTATATAACTAGCTCGAGTAAAGCTAGGGTCTTAGTGCCTTAGGCAGGGCTTGGCGCTTAGCGTTAGGCTAACTAGCCTGCCTTCCTCCTTCTCCTCTAAGTTCTCTATCGAATACTACCTATACCTACTACTACCCTATCTACCTACTAACATACCCTTCTTACAGGAATTAACAATTTTTTCTAAGCCCTAGACCTATCTATATATAGTACCCTCTTCTAAAAAAAACCGAACCGCTTACTACGACCCTACTCTCTTCGTAATAGGCGAAAACGAAAATATATAGAGTAATATACTAGTATATAAAAAATAAATAAATAAACGACTAAAATTTTATTCTAATATTTTAGCTTTAGGGTTTAATATCCTAATACTAGACGTAGATACGGTTTTCTAGAAATCGCCTAAGGTACCTATATCTCCTCCTTCTTCTTCTTTCTAAAAAGATAAAACTCTCGATATTAATATAGTCTATAGTAGCGATTCCCGCGAGTTCTATTAAATCTATAACGCCTTCGAAAATAAGCGACGACGACGTCTATATATTACTCTAATCTATAATAGGATTTTCTAGATACGAAGTAATAATAAAACGATCGCATTATAAAAGGAGATTCTATAGACTTTTTAGTTACCTTACTTTAGGGCGGTTTTTAGAAGGTAAAAAATTTAGGATAACTCGTAAGGAATAGATATACTACTTAATAATAGAAGAGCGAGGACTATAGAGCCGTTTCCTAAGGGGATTGCGGCTAAGATAGTAAGTAAGAGGGAGAGTAGGAAAGCGGATTTAAATATACGGCGTTTAGATTAGACGTCGGTAGCTAATAGGTAGCTTTTAATAAATAAATAGAAGGATTATAAGGAGTTTTTAAAAAAGTTAAAGGAACGAGGTAAGGATTAAATTTCTATCTACTTAAACTAGAATATAAGATAATCCTTAGAGGAAGATAGTATAAAGTAGCTTAGAATAATTTTAGTAGGCAAAGATAGTACTTATATAGCGAGTCTAGACAAGCAAGAGGACAGTTACTTATTACTATTAATTATAGTATCTTAGACCTTATATAAATACTTCTCTAACCTTAAAACTACTATAATCTAGCTCGGATTACTAATAGGTCTATCGACTAGGATATTAAATCTCTATATCTACTAATTCTAAGATATACTACGTTATAGTAGATCTTATTAAATTTTAGAGTTATATTTAAAACCTAAGTTCCTTTATTATATAGACTAAGGTCTTACTAATAAAACTTTAAAAGAAAACTATACTATAGTTTATCTCTAATTCTAACCCTTAAGGAGCTTTGCGAACATTTTTTATTAGGTAAGAAGTCGACTCGAACGGTAAATATAAATATAGTTAAGGATAGGAATAGGGTCATTTTTAAAGGATTAGATTCCTATAGGAGTATTAATTTTAGATATCGAGATCACAACTGCGGAGTCGACGGCGAGAGGTGATATTGTTGCGATGAATGGGAGTATGATTTCTTGGTCTTTGATGAATAATTCGAATTGGGTTGGGGCTGGTGGAGAGGTCGGAGTGAGTCTGGATAAGACTTCGACATAGACGCTGAACTGTTGAGGTACTGTTGTCGATTACGAGTCACGATCCAACGTGCTCGGATGTCATTAGTAGAGGGATTAGGATTGGAAATACTGGTCACGTACCAGCGAATGCTTGACTGAAGAAAGCCACGGAGAAGCTGAAAGGAGGACTGCTGAAGTCTTTTTGAGTCCATCTTCGGCCGCGAAGATTTCTATTGAATGTACAGAATGCGCCATGAGTGAAGCAGCTTCGGGTCTGCATGCGGAACCCGAAATTGAACTATTTGGGTATCTGGAATGTCAAGTTCTGTGCTTATCGTGTGAGCTGAGCATTGGTTCCTGCCGCTGGAGACTTGCCGCCCTCTTCTGTGGCGGGCGCCGTACTACCTTCAGGTACCTTGGCATCGTCGAACTTGACTGTGCCCTTGTTCACGCTCGCGTATGTAAGTTTCTGTTCTGACTGTCTTGGTGGCGGAGCTGTGAGAGCTGCGCCGGATTCAGCTGCCGACTTTGCATGCAGTGCGGATGGGACAGCTCCAGCAGGACTATCCGCAATCTCGTTGACGTCTTGCGAGGAAAGCACGTCTGTGATTCGTGCTCCTCTGGATGAAAGCAGGATTGTCGCCGGGCCATGGAAGTGTAGAAAGAGCTAGACAGAGTCAGCAGGAGTCTTAAGTTTCCACCACGTTCATCAACTCACCCTATCGCCCCAGATCGTTCTCCTCGTCCACGTCCTGACTGTGAGAGCAAAATCTCTGAACAGCTTGTATGCCGTGCTTTCCCGCACTGTTCTGAAAAATCTCGTGTCAGGAAGGAGGGTCAACGGGTTCGGAATCTGCAAGCGCAGGTTATTCGACTTGAATCGATACGGCTGCGGCGCATGCTGCATCATGCTGTACGCAATCACATTGCTGGGATGCACCACATAGTCCTCGCCAGCCTTGAGCGAGATTTGGTGGATAAGACCTTTGCCTGACAGAGCGAGTAGCCCCCGGCCAGTCACAGTCGTGTTTCCCCAATGTGCCATGCTCATTCTCATGTTCCATCGCGGCCTGAGCTGGAGTGTATGTCCTGTCCATGCTAGTAAAGCATTTCTTCTCGCCACCATCCAGTCTAATCTGCCATCCAGATGTACTACGACCAGAGATGTGATGGGCGATTTGGTAGCTATGAGCGCTGTATATGGAGAGGTCGAGGAGATTCGCTGGTAGACAAATGGTATACCGAGAAGTGCTCGTCGGAATGGCTCAAGAAGAGAGAGGGTAGATACGGCCTGGGAGAGTCAGTTTTGGTCAATTTCGGTGTCATGTACTGCCTCACATTTTCCGCTTTGCCATTGAATCCTACTAACGTGCCTTTTCGCGTATACAGGTTCTGAGAAGCAGATATCGAAGCGGAGAGGAGGGAGAAGGGGCTGCCGAGCACTTCGAATCGCGCATCTACACGCATTGATCAGCTACAGCACATGGTCATACTACTCATGAAGCAGCCATACCAGCTGAGGGACTTGAGCTTGCAGGACTGCTCGCTTCTAAGCTCTGTACTGGCTGTGTTGATGAAGGTGTTGCGCTGATCTGGACATATCGTCGACTCGTCTTTCCAGTCAAGCTGCTGGAGTGTCTGACCTGCCTGCAGGATGCGCAGACATGGTCCAACGCGCGCCGGCGCATTATGAGATCTGTGTTTGGAGAAAGTTGTTTAGCAGGGACCTTTCCACGAGAGACACATTCAGGCAGAAATCATTGTTGCCTTACGATTGGCTGTAGCCCGATCTCGCTCGAGCCTCGCCTCGCTTCAACTTCTTCTGCTCAAGCACGCTATCCGATCGACGCCACTTCTGCCGCACTACAGTCTGGTCCTGTGTTGAGGCTGCATCTTCCTGCGTGTCTGCGTAGCCTGTAGAACTAACTTACAGTTTGCACTCGCCAGCCATTGAGCCCTCAACCAGAGTCATCAAGGTCCTCATCTAGGAGCATAAGTGCACCACGGCCGCATCCAGATGGTTTCACGGCCCAGATAGGGAGTAAGAGGAGGTGAAGGAGCATGTTGGTGAGCAGAGTCGGCCTGCGGGCTGCTCTAAGACCATGCACTGCTTCTACACGTAGGCCGACGCCTGCACTACATATACAAGCTTCATGGCATGCGAAGCGTGTGTTCGCGAATACACCTCGGCACAGGAAGGACAATGCCAGAGCAACGACAGCACAGAAGGAGCCACAGAACCAGAGTGAGCCCACAGAAGACAGAGTCGGACCACCAGAAGCTGTTGTGAAAGAAGCAAAGCAAGAAGAGGAGGCCAACGTGCAGAAGGCAACCAAGCCCGCTGTCAAGGCTGATCCGCTGCTTGCCGAGCAGACTGTCTCGAACAAGGAGCAGAGGAAGGCGGACTGGGCCATCATAAAGGATATGACCAAGTACTTGTGGCCCAAGAATGATTTCAGCACCAAGATGAGGGTTGGCCTCAGTGTTGGCTTGCTCGTAGGCGCCAAGGTGCGTTCGGCGTTTTCAGCGCCCACGTCTTTCCCCAACCCACAGCATTGATAGAGTATATAGGTCCTCAACGTGCAAGTACCATTCTACTTCAAAAGCATTGTTGATTCCATGAACATCGATTTCGCTGCTGTTGGAGGCACGGCCATGACTGTTGCTGGCGCTGCCATCTTTGCATATGGAGCGACGAGGATAGGTGCAACAGTGTTCCAAGAATTTCGAAACGCCGTTTTTGCCACCGTCTCGCAGAAATCAATTCGCAAAGTCGCTGGAAATGTCTTCGAACATCTCCTGAAGCTGGACCTCAACTTCCATCTCTCGAGACAGACAGGAGGTCTCACCAGAGCTATTGATCGTGGTACCAAGGGCATCAGCTTCCTGCTGACGAGCATGGTCTTCCACATCATACCGACGGCTCTTGAAATCAGTCTGGTCTCGGGCATCCTGACCTACAACTATGGCTGGAAGTTCGCAGCTCTCACCGTGGGCACAATGGCCGCCTACTCTTGGTTCACCATCGCCACTACCGCTTGGAGAACCAGATTCCGCAAGCAGGCCAATGCTGCCGACAACAAAGGTGCGACTGTCGCAGTAGACAGCCTGATCAATTACGAAGCTGTCAAATACTTCAATAATGAGGCTTACGAGGCCAAGCGATACGATGGAGCACTGAAAAACTACCAAGATGCCAGCATCAAAGTTGCTACATCTTTAGCGTATCTGAACAGTGGTCAGAATCTTATCTTCTCCACGGCTCTGACCGGCATGATGTACATGGCCGCTCAAGGGGTGGCCGGCGCGAACTTGACCGTCGGAGATCTGGTCATGGTCAATCAGCTCGTCTTCCAGCTGTCCGTTCCACTCAACTTTCTGGGCAGCGTTTACCGCGAGCTCCGACAATCGCTGTTAGATATGGAGACTCTCTTCAATCTGCAGAAGGTGAACGTGCAGGTGAAGGAGGCGCCGAATGCCAAGCCTCTTCTCCTCAACAAGGGCGGGGAGATCAAGTTTGAAAATGTGTCATTTGGATACCGTGCCGACAGACCCATCTTAAAGAAGCTCGACTTGACAATCCCCGCGGGTAAGAAGGTCGCCATCGTGGGACCGTCAGGTTGTGGTAAGTCGACAATCCTACGTCTGCTGTTCCGATTCTACGATGTGGAATCAGGCCGAATCACAATCGATGGTCAGGACATCCGAGAAGTATCTCTCGAATCTCTCCGAAAGAGCATTGGAGTCGTGCCTCAAGACACAACTCTCTTTAACGACACGATCGAGCACAACATCCGCTATGGAAAAATCACATGCACGCATGAAGAACTCATCGCCGCAGCAAAACGTGCTCGCATCCACGACATCATCGAGTCATTACCCGATGGCTACAAGACCATGGTCGGTGAGCGAGGAATGATGATTAGCGGAGGGGAGAAACAGCGACTAGCTGTCAGTCGTCTCATCCTCAAAGACGCGCCTCTACTGTTCTTCGATGAAGCGACCTCTGCACTCGACACGCATACCGAGCAAACTCTCTTGCACAACATCAATTCCATCTTGAAGGACAAGGCAAGGACGAGTGTCTTCATCGCTCATCGTCTCCGAACGATCTATGACAGTGATGAAATTATCGTCTTGAAGGATGGGAAAGTCGCAGAGCAGGGCACGCATGACAAGCTCATTCATCATGATGGCATCTATTCGGAGCTTTGGAGCGCTCAGGAGATGGCTTTTACTGAGGAGACGGAGGTCGTGGACCAGGCGAGGGTTGGGGAGAGGAAGTAAATTATGTCGATGATTTGGAAATCAGAGGTCAAATCATTTCATGTTCTGTAGAGGTCATTTCGCTTTTTGAGCATGACTCGCGTAAGAAAGCTTAAATTTATGGACAGTTCAGTCCATATGCAAACACTCATCACTTCGAGACTTCCGACTCCCGACCGTAGATCACGCCTGCACCAATATGTCTGGTCGCAAGGACTTTCTGTCGCAACAAGCGCCAGAAAACTACGTCGCTGGTCTAGGTCGTGGTGCGACAGGTTTCACCACTCGATCCGATCTTGGCCCCGCCCGCGAAGGACCTTCAGAAGAGCAGATCAAAGAAGCACTCGCAAAGCGCGCCGCAGCTCTTGGGAATGCGCCACCAACAGCATACGGTGTGAAGGGAAAGAAGGACGACGACGCTGAAGATGACGACCGATATCAAGATGCCGAGAACGAGGAAGGTCTATTCGCAAGCGGCAACTACGATCGCGAGGACGATGAGGCTGATCGCATCTACCAAGATGTCGACGAGCGCATGAGCAAGCGTCGAAAGACGTCAAGGTTAGTCTGCCCCATACATTCCCTTCCCCAGCACGATCTATCACATGAAAAGCCATGTTCATCGTTCTTGCAGCCTATCTCGTGTGGTGGAGCACTTGCCGACTTGAGAGACAACAGGGAAGAGCGTGAACGCAAAGAACGAGAAGAATTCGAAGCCAAAAATCCCAAGATCCAGCAACAATTCGCCGATCTCAAACGAGCCCTCGGGACAGTCAGTGATGAAGATTGGGCGAGCATTCCCGAAGTGGGAGACTTGACCGGCAAGAATAGAAGGAGCAAGCAAAATACGCGACAACGATTCTATGCTGTGCCGGACAGCGTGTTGGCGGGTGCAAGGGACAGCGGGCAGCTGGGGACCGAGATTCAAGATGAAGGAATGGCGACTGAGGCAGACGGCGCATCGAATGAGCAGGCTGATGGGACCATGACCAATTTTGCGGACATCGGTGCTGCACGAGACAAGGTGCTGAAAGCGAGACTCGACAAAGCAGCGGCGGGCACGGAGACTGCTTCTGCCGGAACGAGCACGAGCATTGACCCGAAAGGCTACATGACTGCGTTAGCATCTACGGAACTGTCGAAAGGCGATATTCCGGTGGGTGATATCAAGCGTGCACGAGTGCTTTTGGAGTCAGTCATCAAGACGAATCCTCGCCATGGACCGGGCTGGATTGCAGCAGCACGTCTGGAGGAGTACGCCGGCAAGATTGTGGCTGCCAGAAACGTGATTCGACGAGGTTGCGAGATGTGTCCCAAGAACGAGGATGTCTGGTTGGAGAGTATGCGACTGAACGATAACGCCAACGCCAAGATCATCGCGGCGAAGGCCATCGAGCACAACGACAGATCAGTGCGACTCTGGATCGAAGCCTCGAAACTCGAGACGATTCCTGCATCGAAGAAGCGCGTGCTGCGAAAAGCACTAGATCACATTCCGCAGTCAGTCGCTATTTGGAAAGAGGCAGTCAATCTGGAGGAGAACCCCGACGATGCTAAACTCTTGCTCGCAAAGGCTACTGAGATTATTCCTCTCTCAGTCGAGCTCTGGCTGGCTCTTGCACGACTTGAGACACCAGAGCAGGCACAAGTCGTTCTCAACAAGGCACGAAAGGCTGTGCCGGCAAGCTACGAGATCTGGGTCGCCGCGGCGCGATTGCAAGAACAGACTGGCCAGGAAGCGATGGTGTCGAAGGTCATGGAGCGTGCAGTCAAAGCACTTGCTCGTGAGTCTGCTATGCTGAAGCGTGAGGAATGGATCTCACAGGCAGAGACATGTGAAGAAGAAGGTGCGCCGTTGACTTGCCGCGCTATCATCAAAGAGACGATCGGGTTCGGACTTGACCCAGACGATGATCGCAAGCAGATCTGGCTCAACGACGCGCAAAGCTCAATGGACCGAGGCATGTACGAGACTGCTCGTGCGATATACTCTGCTGCTAGAAAAGAATTCTACACTCGAAAGAGCGTATGGCTAGCTGCTGCAGAACTGGAGCGAAAGGCCGGTTCGAAAGAGCAGCTGTGGTCCATCTTGGAAGAGGCTGTGAATAGTATTCCGACATCTTCAGAGCTTTGGATGCAGCTGGCTCGTGAGAAATGGCTTGCAGGTGATGTTGAAGGGGCCCGTCGTGTGTTGGGAGAAGCTTTCTCCAAGAACCCGGAGAACGAGGATATTTATCTTGCTGCCGTCAAACTCGAAGCAGATAACGGACAAGAGGATCGCGCTCGGATGCTGCTCGCCCAAGCGCGAGAAGAGGCGAGGACTGACCGTGTCTTTGTACGAAGTGTGGCATTCGAGCGGCAGACGAACAACTCAGACCGCGCTCTCGAACTCGTCAACGAAGGACTACAATCATTCCCGAGGACCGATAAGTTGTGGATGATGAAGGGTCAGATCTACGAAGGGAAGGGTATGAAGCCGCAAGCTCGCGAAGCGTTCAGCAACGGCACCCGGCAGTGTCCAAAGAGCGTCCCCCTCTGGATTCTCGCTGCACGTCTGGAAGAGAGCATGGGCATTGTCGTGAAAGCACGATCCACCCTTGATCGCGCACGACTAGCGGTACCCAAGAACGACCGGCTTTGGACAGAATCCATCCGTCTCGAAATTCGCGCCAAGAACCTTCCCGCCGCAAATCAGAAACTGGCCCAGGCACTCCAAGAATGCCCCAACTCAGGCCTCATCTGGGCCGAGCGGATCTGGAATTTGGAAGAACGCACGAAACGCAAACCACGCATCCTCGAAGCCATCAAGAAAGTCGAAAACGACCCCATCCTGTTCGTCACTGCTGCAAGAATTTTCTGGTCGGAGCGTAAGCTGGACAAGGCTGATAGTTGGTTCCTCAAGGCCGTCACGCTCGATCCAGATCTTGGTGATAGCTGGGCTTGGTGGTATAAGTTTTTGGTTCAGCATGGTACGGAGGAGAAGCAGGAACAAATCATCAAGCAGTGTACGGCCAACGAGCCGAAGCATGGTGAGGTGTGGCAGACTGTGAGGAAAGCGCCGGAGAACTCTAGGAAGACGACTGAGGAGGTTTTGAAGTTGGTTGCGAAGGCGATGAATTAAGTCATGCTGAGAGCGCGGTCAACCTGCCCAGGAGTGGCTGTATCGTGAGCGTGAAAGCTTGCACTTCAACTGTACCTTCCCGTTCACCTTGCTCTGCGTTCTCCTTCACTTTAAGAAGAGTGCGTATGATATCCTAGGAAGAGTTGGCTAAATAGATATGCAGGCGCCAGAACCAAGACCAAATTCGTACAGTCATAAAAGTCCTCAACGCCAATCAAAAAGAAGCATCGGATCTTGATTCGCACAATACCTTCTGACCCTTCTCATCGCCAGTGTCTGTCGAAACCCTCTCCGAAAATACATCACATCTCGCATTATCTATCTAAAAGACTCCTTGCAGGAATTCCCTTGGATTAACGTCAATGCGTGTGCAAGCTGGAATTCACTCGAGCTACAACTCCTATAAATGTCATGGACGTAACTCGGAAATTCTTTCCGTTATACCTGAGTTACCGTAGCCTTTGATGAAGACCGGGCTACTCAAGTAACAGCCCTGCAGCTGGACTGAAAAGAGCGGTCTGTACACTTAAGTGCTCACATAAATCTTCAACTCAGACATCGTTTCCCGTGTTACTTTAGTTGCCGTGATTCTGGATGCGGAGCGGGCTGCAGTCTTGTGGGAGTAGGTTTTGCAAGTGATCTTCACAAATGCTCACATAAACCATCGTCTCATGCACAGCTAGCTAGCGGACTGAAGCCTTGTTGTTGTCGAACTGAGGAAGCGATCTTCACAAGTGATAGCCGCAAATTCCGCCAAGAGCAATCAGAAAATCAACCTTTCACCCATACCGTATATCCAAGCTCAAGCGAATGGCATGCGCTTCAACATACTCCTCAGTCTTCCGATCCCATCGCCGCCGACACTCCAAACGCGAAGCCGCCAAGCCATAAACCCTGTCAAGAATCGGAGTCAACTTGATGATGATGTCTTTCATATGCTGCTCCATATCTGCATCAAACCAGCACACCGCGTCGTATCTCCAACACATCGTATGGCTGAGTCTGCGGAACTCCTCGAGCACTTCGAGAGGGACCATTTTGCCTAGCGTGCCTAGAAGGGAGTGGCAGTAGATACGTTCGGTGGAGATGCATTGCATGCCAAGGTGGAGATCGTGGGTTAGGAGGTCTGCGTGAGCTAGAGCATCCTCACGCACCTGGAATCGAGGCCGGTTAGCAAAGGGTTCATAAGAAAGTAGCTCTCCACCTCGAGAAATGGGATGGGCTACCGTTGAGATTGTAACGGAGTCGAAAAGCAGTTTCTGGCGCACGTACCTTCGCTTGGAAGCCCGGCCAGTGGTCCATGCCCTTGAAGTCGACGTTGAAGTTAGCGCAGAGGCGACTGATTGCGAAGGAGCACTGCATCATCAACGAGATCGTGCTCGGTTCCCGTCCTAAGTGATTGACTGTCTCGTAAGCCTTGCCTTCGACGAGCACGCTTTTCAGTGATGTGCTCTTTTGCAAAAATGACACCAGTGTATACCTGAGCAACATATGCGTGAGCATGTATCCCGGGAGGAAGAAGTGGATCACGAATTACTTACAATTCAGCCGTCGATCGAGACACGTCCTCCCAAGCTGATCGACGATGGCCTTGATCCACGGCGTCGTACAGTGCCTCCTCGTCGAGTAAAATTCGGACTTTTTCGAACTTGAGAAATGAAAGTGGCCAAGGTGGAGCATTGAGCTTCATGATCGGCTCGTATCGATAATCATGCGGAGCGCGACGCGTCTCCAGGAACAATAGGTGGTTGGCCACGAAGCGAGCTGTAGGAGTGTTAATTGAGTAGATCATTTCAGAAGCGTCACCATGTATGCTCTTCGAAGCGCGCAGGATTTGCGGGTGGCATTTGCCAACGTCGTTGAGTGTTAGAAGCTCGTCGTAAATGCGGTTGCGAATTTCGCCAGCGAGAGCTGTGAATCGGAAGGTCATGGATTTATCTGCGTTACGAAGTAGGCGGATACATTCTTCCTGGGTGATTTGAGAATGCTCGGTTTTATGTAGGCCGCGGTCTTGCACGAACGTGCGAAGTTCATCGAGCGTGCAATTTTCGTAGGCGAGAGCGTGTTTTGGCAATGTCATTGTGTCAATCTTGCTCGAGGGGAAAGGATGGTCGGTGGTTGCGAATCGCAATTGGACGTCCGAGCCAAGGCAAATAAAGGCGAACTGGTATGCAGTGAATGCAAAATGAGCTGCGTTGTTCATAGACGAGTCGCTGTACATCATGATGCATTTCATGGTTCATCACACACGTTCAATGATGCTGATGATCCACCGCTTCAAGGCATGATGGTGTTGCGCTCGCAAACGAAGCTTTCAGAGCCCGTATTCTCTCCTTTCGAGCCCGCGGACACGATGCCTATTCTACGCTGCAGTTGTTCATGATGTCTCAATCTGGATATCCAGGCTCTTCTTCGTCATTGGGTGTGTTTATATGTGCCTGAAGCGTGCCCCCCTCCCTGCTTGCGTCTCTTATCCCAACATTGCAGCCCGCAGGTATCCTCGCTGCATTGAAGACCGCCTGGAAGCCATCCTTGGGTCATGCTCGATGTTCGTTTTCTGCGTCGGTCCACATCCTCGCCATACCTCAGGATCGGCTGCCCGGGTCGCGTAGCATGCAGGATGTCGGTGCTGGCTGGTCCGCTCGCATATCGTATTGTCGCGACAGTGATTTGCATCGATACAGAGAGGGAGGAGAAACATCCGTCAGCAAAGACATGACATCCAGGCCAGCCAAGCCAAATTCGGACCGATTGTTCTATACCACTTTCTTTGCTGCGCCTCCGCGGTTCCTTGTCGACATGCATCGGAGTCAGGACAATGCTCAGACAACATGCCTCCCGCCATCGCCAGCAAGACCGCGGCGGATGAAGCCAATCCCGAGCAGCTGGTGCAGCCACGCATTGTGACATTCGAAACAGAAAGGCTGCAAATGAAAACCATGTCCATGGACGATGTCGACGGCATCCTCCCGATTCTCCAGCACGAATCGGTGATGCAGTGGACGTACGTAGGCGGCATGTTCTCTATGCCCGATTGGAGACGTGCTCAGCTCACAGCTTCCAGATCTCATCCCCCGGTGCAGAACAGAGATCAGGCTGCACGATGGGTCAGTTCTCGAGCCCTTGGCCGCCACGTCTTCAACTTCTGTATCCGAGAGAAATCGCCATGTGGTGCGGCGACTGCATCATCCCGAATCGTCGGGATGGTGGGCGCTTTCCACTGGCCAATGGTCGGCTACATGATTCATCCAGATTTGCAGGGCAAAGGGTACGCGACCGAAGCACTGAAAGCCTTCATACCAAGGTACTGGGAACGCGTCCCAGAAGGCACTGCGGGTGGTCACGATGTGCTTGAAGGCTACACCGACTCGGAGAACTTCGCCTCGCACCGCATCCTCGAGAAATGCCGCTTCACACGCTGCGAAATTTCATTCCAAGATTTTGAGAGCCCGAGTATGGGACTGCGAGACAGCGTAGCGTTTCGACTTGCGAGGCCGGGCAAGATGATGGCTGATCTTGGACTTGATCCGGACGCGAAAGAAGAAGAGCCTCCCGAGCCGCCGGTGCAGTGAGTTTGAGCAGAATTACCTCCATCCAGATATCAGGCTGCAACAAACCAAGCTTCCAAGCAAGCTACCTCTCCACTTTCACCCAATGGTACCATGCTTTACACTTCATATACAGTCAAGAACCTAGGACCTTCAGCAAGTCAGAATGCGGCTTGCGGCCTTAGGAGATGTGGTCTAGCGGTTGGGCACAGGCACCTCGATTCACTAGAGGTGGGCAATTCATTAGCCCATGCTTCATTCATTGTTAATAGGCATGTCCTGGACGTAGGTTCGATTCCTACTGTCTCCAAAATTCCTTTTTGCTTTTTCATCTTGCGATCAAACTGTTTTTATTCTTCCCTTTTCGCCCATCATTTCTTTTCGCACTCCATCCAGCATGATGGTTTCAAGCCCTTTGAACCCGCCAAACATGAACGCATTTATCTCATGATGGCATTACAACATACATTGCTGTTGTTCACGTCCAAAATACCTTCGTGAATGATCGACGAAAGAAAAAAGAAAAAGTTCAGATCACGATACCTACCGGCTATTTGAGAAAACCAAGAGCCTTTTTCCAACCGACAAAAAAGCGGGATTTTCAGCAGCGTGTACTAGACATGCACACACGAAAGAAAAGAAGAAGAAAAAATGATGGCTACTTACCAACGCACAAGTAAGCAAAACGTCAAACTTCAACTCAGTCTGCCAGCCCACGCAGTCCTAACGAATTGGCGAGGACGACGATGAAATTGATGATGTGATTGAGAATTGCGGGCGACGCTGGGCAGGCGTTTCTCGTGTGATTGGATATAGCATACGGGAAGTTCGTGGCACCGACTACAAGGGACTGCAGATGTATGGACAGGAGGTCTTCTTGAGATTAATTCATTCCGTGGGGGGAAAAAAATTCGAAGTATTATATTCGCTCGGCCGGAGATCTATGATGCGTATGTCTTCGGGTGAGGTGAGGAGAAATGCAGCAAAGGCAAGGAAAAAGAAAGCAAGCCAGCTAGCTAGCGTGTCGAACTTGCACTTTCAACGCTACATGAGGTATCATATCTATACACATGTCACACCCCTTCCCACCCATCCAGAGCTAGATTATGTACACCAGACCTTTAAACGCCTCATATGATGGATGCATCAAGTCGTACCGTCATTCCCGACCTTAACCTCCCCTCCCCATCATCCTCCCCTCCCTTACACCTCCTCCTCATCAGCATCCTCAAAAAAGTGATTCACCCACGGACTAAACGTCTCATTCCCATACGCACTGCCCCCAAACGTGAGATAACTCTCCGCATCAAAAAGCGGAATCCTCGTAACCTGTTGAAAATCCCCCATCACCCACACCGTCTGCATCCCCATAATCATATGCGCCAAAATATGACAATGCATCATCCAAACCCCCGGATCCGTAACTCGTAACCTCCACCCCCTCCAACCAAGTTGACTCCCCGCGGTGGTCTTGTCGATGTACCGGTATAGATTCGTGGTGTCGCGGAGCACAGGGTTGTAATGCGCGAGTTTCTTCTCGTTGGCGATGGGATCGTACGTTCCATTCCCCGAGCCGATGTCGTAGTAATGAGCCCCGTGAGCATGGAAAGGATGATAATCCTGCCCACCCCCGTTTTTCACCAAGGAGCCGGTATTGATCCAGATTATTTCTAGGACTTCGCCGAGTTTTGCCGGGAAGGCGAGGGAGTGAGGGTCCCAGCCGCCGTTTTGCAGGGCGGCGGTGTAGTTGGGCATGGCGGAGGGGCCGTTTTTGTAGATGTGGGTGAGGTAGGGTTCTTCGCCCGGGTAGGGGGAGGAGAGGAGTTCGGTCCAGTTGAGGCCGTTTGCTTGCCAGATGATTTCGGCGGAGAGGCCGATTTGGCGGTTGTCGATGAGGATGCGGCGGGTGACTTCGGAGGCTTGGGGGAAGTTGTTGGGTTTGAGGGGTTCGAGGGCGTATTCGAGCCAGTCGTAGGTGTGGTTGCTGAGCTTGAAGAGAGGTGTGCTTGGTGCTGTGGTGATGTTGGGCTTGCCGCCGGAATATCGCAGAACGCCATAGCCACGATAGACGGCGGGTCGATCTTTGGTCTCGTATTGGATGAGGTAATCGGTCTTTCCGTTGAGCTCGGCCACGGTCTTGGTTTTGAAAAGCACGTCGAAACGCTGTCCGCTGGACAGTTGCATGAATCTGAAGTCCTTTGGAAGGGTGTACGGCTTGGTGTAGCTACCATCGGCTTCGATGATCGTCCAGTTATGGTGACCTTCAATGGCGAATTGGACCAGGCTGATGGCGGTGCCTCCAATGAAGCGCATGCGGTACGTCTTACCGGGCTCTACATCAATCACGGGCAGCTTGCAAGCGCCTTGGCCAGCTGTCTCTCCCTTCGCAACACCAACTCCATTGATGAGCACTGCATTGACTTCACCAGGCCACTTGAATGTCGTGTTCAAGAGACCGAATTCGATCTGCTCGTCGGTCTGGTTGTAGTAATCGGTGATGAGGACGATGCGCTCCTCGTCGTACTGATTCCTGTAAGGCTGATCCTCCGCAGGGTCCTCAATGATCAGTGGGCCTGCACAAGACATTGCCTGAAAGCCAACATGGCTGTGGTAGAAGTAGGTGCCGCTCTCGTTCTTCGTCGGATACACTTCATAGTCGAAAAAGTGGCCCGGCGGAATTGGCCACTGACTTGCTGCTGGGGTGCCATCGCTGAAAGGTGCCATCCGCTGACTCAGCCCATGCCAATGTATTGTGGTGTTCCAACGCTCCATGTCATTATAGACGCGAATCCAGCTTCTCCGGCCAGGCTGAAGTCGAATGGGCGGGCCAGGCGATGTGCCATTTGCTAGTACTGAAGTCCTATTCTGACACGCGACTGGAACGTTGGCTTCTGTTATTCGCAGGATGAAGTCTGGCTGGAAATCTTCGCCATGCTCGCAAGGTCCGCCATACCGCCCAGGTGGGCCATTCGGGCTTCCTCGCGGTCCCCACGCGACGACATTTTGAAGAGTGCTGAGCAGCCACGCCGCGCTGGCAGCGAAAGAGGCTGCTCTCATCTCGAAGTGAAGATGGGCCGCGATGACTAAAGACGATGTCGATGAGCAAGAATGAGGGCATAGAAGAGAGTGTGTACCACGTGCAGGTAGTGGCAACCTATAGGAGGACAAAATCGAGCGGCATATCAAGTCTTACCAGGATCAGGCCGTACGACGGTGCCGACGCATGTCAATTTATCAGGTACGAGACTACGAGCTCGGGTAGCGTCAGGTGTGCCCGTGCGAGTAGATCAACCCAGTCAAGGGTCAGGGGTCAGGGTCAGGGGGTTGGGCGCGTGCGTATACCATCATCGCGGCACTAGAACTTCTCTATTAATAGTAGGCCTTGAATACTTCGCGCGTCTTATAGATAAGCGGTTGTCTTATCTATAAGACAGGTTATTAAGCCTTATTGTCTTATAAGCTAGTATCTTTTCTATCTTATAGGTATTTAACGTATCTTATCTAAAATAGCGCTCTTAGCGATGTCTCGTAACCTTCCTCTTACCTTTATAGACCGTACCTCTCCTAGCTATTACTACTACTATATCGATTGTCGCTATTCTTGCTATATAATGCCGCCGAAGGGCTCGTCGTCGTCTACGCCGCTTAATCCGAAGGCCGCTACGAAGGCCGCTACTATATAAGCTAAGCGGAAGGCTACGAAGGAAGCAAAGAAGGAAGCGAAGGAGGCGGCGAAGAAGGAGTCGAAGAAGGAGTCGAAGAAGGAGGTTATAAATAAGCCGCGTACGAGATAGCTGCCTTATTTATAAATAGAGGCACAAATCGAGTCTATACTATAGGCGTTCATCGACCGACTAGCAAGGCAGAATAATAACTAAGGGTTTCTAGACTCGGATATTCTCGAGGTTACGAAGGAGCTTAACGCTAAGTATAATATTAGCCTAGCACCGAAGTAGGTACGTAATAAGTTTAATACCTTCCGGCCGTCTTAGAAGCGCTAGAAAGCGCACCTTAGAAGGATTAGTAGGTAGAGTAGTTAGCCGCCTAAACCGGACGATAATAATATAGAAGAAGGCTATTATAGCGCTTATCTAGATTGCCTTCTATTTAAAGACAACCTACCTAAGTTTTATAACAAGTTAGAGGTATTGTTTAGTAATTACCTCGCTATAGGTAAAGGCGCATTCGAAGCCGCGGATTTAGTAGATTTAACGATTATAGAGCGCTACGCTAAGTAGGTAGACGAGGAAGGTAAAGAAGGTAGTAAAGAAGAGGAAGAAGAAGTTATTATAGACGAAGAAGAATAGCTAGCATCTAATAAAGAAGCCTCTTCTAGCAAAGCGCTAAGTTTACCTCTCGAGAGGTCGTCTAGTACTAATAGCAGTATTAGTCGTAGAAGGAAGAGATAGGCTTATTAATTACTATAGAAATAGGCCGTTATAGCGTTAGCGAAGAAGCCGAAGGCAACGGAGTCTTAACTATAGCGCTCGTACTCTACTAACAAAGTTAGTATTGCTATTACTAACCTCGAGAAGCCGCTAAACCGAGCACTAATAAGCATTCTTGCTAATAGACAGTATTCGAACGCGCCGAAGGATACTATCGTAAGTGCTGCTATTCGTAAAGCTATAAATTGCGAGGCTATTTAAAAGCTTGCCTTTACGAAGCGAATAGCACTCTCAGACCTTCTCGAGAATAAAGGTACGGCTAGCCGTATTATAGGTTGTCTAGACAAAGATTTAGAAGCAACACTAAAGTAGTTATTAAAGAAGAGGGCGAATATAGACGATATCGAGGACGTTACTAAAGAGGCGTCTACGCCTACTACGTTGCCGGATACAGGAGGAACTAATCCGCCTACTCTTAAGTAGGCGGCACTATAAATGGAACCCTAATTAGTATAGAATCTAAGGGAAATGGTTCCTCAAAACATACCTTTTAATTATCCGGCGTAGCAGTTGTTCTATAGGTACGTTAAACAGCAGTTACCGTCGATATAGGACCTCGAGTTTAGAAGCCAAAGTAGCTTTTATTAGCAGTAATAGTATAGAATAGTTGTCGGGGAAGCTACATTTTAAAGAATAAAGGGTCTTTATCTATACTATAAATTTACGTAGAGATATTGTTAGTTTTTGCGTAAATCTATTAGAACTGCTTGCGAAGCTACTATTACGGTTATTTCTAACAATATTGTTGCCCCGTAAACAAGCTATATCTCCTACTAATTCTGTCGCATATAAAGCTAAGCCTAAAGCTTAGTAAAACCTCCGGATTTCGACTTTATCGCGAGTTTCCTCAACAACGCTATAACTAAATTTCTTCGTTCTTTTTTTATATAACGCTTCTGCTAATTAACTCTTAATCAAAATTATTATATGCAAAGAATAGTAGTATTACTATAGAGAAACTAGCGATACAGCAATAACAGTCGGTTTTTAGCGCTAACTCGGCAATACCCGCCTCCTACCTTCTTTATACCGATAGAGGACGAGGATAGGCGCGAGAGTGATAACGGCATATATAGGCATCTAACTAAAGTTCCGGAAGGTACGAGAAATAGTAATTTAAGGTAAGGAATACCGCTAAGACCTATACGTACCGAACTAAGCTAAGATTTCGTACTATACTCGGATATCTACTACTACCTCCGCCTTCTCTTTATTATTATTATTAATTATCTTCGTACGGATTGCTAGCCGCATTCCTTACAGTATAATCTCGCTATATAGAGATAGCTAGTTTATCTCTATATATACCTATTTTGCTTCGAAGCGCTATCGATACTCGATCTATCTCCGCGACCTTATCTTCTACGATATTATCCTCGTCGAAACCCGCGTTACGGTCTTCCGGTTGCTATTCGAGCGCTTTAGTTTCGATAGTTTAGTTATAGAGGTTATAGAAGTTGTTAAGGGCGCAAATAGCGATAATAAACCGCGCCTATTAGACAGTAGAATAGCCCTTATATAGACCTTCTTTAAATACTAGCTATTTCTCTTTATAGATACTAAACCTACGCTTAACGTAGTTACGAAGCTACGAATACCGAAGATTGAACAACTCTTCTTTACGCTTAGGCTTTATTTTAGAGGCGTACTATTCTCGAAGGTAATACCTCGTCTTCTAGTATAGCACTAGCACATAATCGAGGTTCTTTAAATAGCCGCTATCCGCTAAATAGAACCTTCCTCGAGGAATCTTTAACCCCTTCCGTATAGCTGTTTGCAATATAGTACTATCCGCCGCCGAGCCCTCCTATCTAGGCAATATATATATAAAGTTGCCTTTAAAATCTATATACGTAAGAACGTTCTACGATATACTACCCTTACGATTGCGATACGCGCTAGTATTCGGTACGTTCTTCGCCTTAAAGGGAATATAAGAGCCGTTAAGAGCGCTAATATAGCCTAAGAAGTATAGCTATATCTTTAGATTATTAGTTATCTCTAGTAAGGTTATAGACTCGGCAGTCGGCTGTTTAGCTATGTCTCGAAACAACGTATATAATAGACGACTAATCCTTAGAATAGCGCGCCTCGCGGTAAGTAGCGAGTGTTAATACACCCTTCGTAACTGCCGGTTTGTCTTCTTATATACTAGCATATCTAGGCATATAATTACTTGCTTAGCGGCGCTCACTCGACGGCTATAAGTAAGGCTATAATCGTCTACGAGAGTGTTAATTAACGCCTTAAGAACAGGTTGTCGAAGCCTCGTTGCATCGTAATAATACTCCGGCGGTCTAATTAATATAACCTGCGTCTAAAACGACCCCATTTCCGGTACTACTAGAGTAGTTATTTTGCCTAGAGGCCTATACTTCGGCCGCTCTATAGCCTCTAGTATTACTCGAAGCGATTAAACCGCTATATATACGGCTAGCACTAGTACGAAGTCCTCGATCTCGTCGTTATCTATACTACGATATATAGATATAGCAAGAGTAGCGGTTAAGAGAGGGCAAGAAGCTATATCTAAAGGAGATGCCTCCGAGGGTAGCGATAGCGATATATAAGGTAACTAGGTATAAATCTATCTTATAAAAGATAGTATAGTAGATAAGAGGCAATCTTTTATAAGACAGGCGTCTTATAAGCCGTCTTATAGATAAGACGGCTGTCTTATAGCTAATTTAGATAAGACGATAGATTATAGGTATTTAACGTGTCTTATAATAGACCTACCTGTCTTATAGATAAGACAGCTATCTTATAGATAAGACAATACGAAGTATTTAAGGCCGTAGAGCTTTTCTCGCTCCTCGTATATATATATATATATATATACGTAAACCCCTCAGAGCTGCTGCACTGCCGTCTCCCCCGCTTTTTGGTCTATTTTTTTT